TATGGGGGCAAGCGGCTCTTAAGAAAGGTGTCAAGAGGAGACTGTTGAGTATGCAGCGAGGATTTGCGATTCGAATTATTAGGGCGTTTAGGACTGTGTCCACTACGGCAGCGATCGCGTTAGCAGAACTCACTCCTTTGGACCTTAAAGTTCTCGAAGTCCATCACCTTGAGCAAACCCGACTCACAGGATCTACGCATCTTCTGCGCAGTAATATGTCTCTTGAGCGTCCCACCCCGCCTCATAAGTTACTCCACCCTGCTGACAGAGTCTCCATCACTTCGCTTCCTTATTCCTCTCTCACCACTTCACAGTCATCCCTCACCATTTATACAGATGGAAGTAAGCTGGAGAATTCTGACACCGGGGCCGCTTTCGTCGCATATTCTCTAAATAAGCAAATCGCTGTTAAGAAGTTTAAACTCCATCGATCTTGCTCGGTCTTTCAGGCCGAGCTTCTCGCCATCCTGAAAGCTTGCACGTGGGCTAACTCGTTCCACCCACATTCACACATCACCATATTAACCGACTCCCAAGCGGCCCTCGCCGCATTGCAAGATCGAAGCAATACACACCCTTTGGTTTCACAAACTCATGCACAAATCCATTCGCGCACATCCGGTTCGTTTAGCTTCGTGTGGGTCAAGGGACATATAGGCGTAGACGGGAACGAGGCGGCTGACTCTGCGGCGAAGCACGCGGCCGCTTCACACTCCTCTTTATCCTATGCTTCTTATCCCATGTCCTTTGTTAAGCATAACATCCGCGCTGAACACAACCGCATATGGCAAGCAAGATATGAGAGCTCATCTCAAGGTCGTCATACGATTTCTCTTCTCCCCAAATTAACTGACATCACCAGATTTAGACAGCTAGTCAAAACTTCATTTCATCTTACTCAAATATTAACAGGACACGGCTATACAAAGCAATACTTGCATCGCTTCAATATAGCCGCTGACGACGCTTGTCCCTGTGATGATTCTACTACGCAGACTTTTGAACATCTTCTAGAACACTGCCCTAGATTTAGCTCGAAGAGACTAAATCATGTCTTGCTTTGCAACAATCTGAGACTGTCCCCATTTAACATATTAGAGTTGTTAAAACACGAATCGGCCATCAGTTCATTCGACACTTTTGCGAAACACATTATCACCAATCTTAAAGCTTTCAACGGCCAACTAAGATCATGACAGACTACTTGCGTCCACTAATTAATTAATATTACCTCACCTTCACAAGTCTTCACCTCCCACTAGTACATTTATCACACTCGCCTCACCTCCATTCCATTGTTCGTTTATATAGTTGTCAATTCATCATTACCACATTCATCATCATCAATTCACCTTGTTCCCCCATTGACATTCGAGTAATCCTGCGGATGTGGTGTATGGATAGCCGTATCAAATCGCGTCTGCCATTCCCGCTGCCGCAGGGGCCTATGTGGGAACCTTGTCATACTCATTAGCAAACGTCCACGGTGGGAGAAGCTCACGTATCTAATAGCGGAAGCTCTCCCTTCCGGTCGACATCAGCGCAAACACATAGATAAGAAATTAGCGATCATTACCGCATATGTTAGTATATCATACCACTGCGAACCAACGAAAATAGGAAAAAAAAAAAAAAAAAAAAAACCTAACCTAACCTAACCTAACCTAACCTAACCTAACCTAACCTAACCTAACCTAACCTAACCTAACCTAACCTAACCTAACCTAACCTAACCTAACCTAACCTAACCTAAACCGCAGCTTTAATTACTTTCCAATTGAATATCCCGATTGAGTCGGAGGAAAATTATAGCGAGTTGTAAATTTGCAGTAGCGACATCTTGTGGCTGTTGGTGGCACTATTTCTTTACATATGCGACATCTTGTGGCCAATATAGGTACTATTACTAGCAGTTTGGCGACATCATGTGGCCAACGAATGGGAGCGAAACGGAACCGTCTGGACGGCGCGGGACGAGACTGGACGGGATGGAACAGAACGGAAGTGAACGGAACGAGCGAGAGGGATACGATAACCTAAACCTAAACCGCAGGTTAGTTTTGGTTTTTTTTTTTTTTTTTTTTTTTTTTTTTTTTTTTTTTTTTTTTTTTATTTTCGTTTTGAAGAAATATGGTAGAATACCAAATCACTAGGATGATGATTATGACCCGAGAAGCGGTGTAGGGATGGAGAAGGCGGGGGTCGGTACTGGGCAGCAAAGGGGGTGGGGAGGGTCGGTACCGGGCCGCAGATTAGAATCTGTATGTTGTTGTTTATCTGTTAATTTATTTGGTTAAATTTATTTACTTAACTACACACATTATAAATACCGTAAGTCACGTGTTTAGATGATGACGTGTCAGGGACTAGAATGACTAGGAATAATGTTTCATTTAACAATCTTATTTAATATTAATGTTAATGTTTCATTTAAGAATATGTCTGTCTTATAATAATCTTCAGCGTGATGGTGCTCCTCCAGATGGTAACCTGGGTCTGATGATGTAGTTCCAAGGTGGCCATAGGAACTCCGTAATTAAACGATGCAACTCCATCGAGTTTGGGCTCTTTAACTCGTCTTGACGAGTATTTTGATACTAGATAGTTATCTGGGTCTGATGATTGACCTGGAACGTGGCCATAGGAATTTCGTAATTAAACGATGTAACCCCATCTAGTTTGAGCTCGTTTAATTTGTCTTGACGAATACTTTGATACTTTATGGTAACCAGGGTCTAATGATGGAGCTGCAAGGTTAACATGGGAACTCTGTGATTAAACGACACAATCACATTGAGTTTGGGCTCGTTTAACTTGTCTTGACGAGTATTTTGATACTAGATAGTAATCAGAGTCTGATGATGGACCTGAAAATAGGCCATAGGAACCCTGTAATTAAACGACGCAACTCTATCGAGTTTGGGCTCGTTTAACTCGTCTTTACGAGTACTTTGACACTAGATTGTATCCAGCGTCTGATGATGGTGCTGGAAGGTGACCATAGGAACTCTGTAATTAAACTACGCAACCCCATCAAGTTTGGGGTCGTTTAATTCGTCTTGACGAGTATCTTGGTTGATGTCTTTCAACTATTCGTGTCTTCATAAATTGGAAGTTGACACAATCGAGTTAAAGGTTGTCGTAAACAGCCACGTGTTGTATTGATGTCATCTACGCGAGACACCCCATCTGATCCAGGAAATAAGCGCACAACACGCCCAAGTCGCCATGCCAGAGGAGGAATGAAGTCTTCTTGAAGCAGAACGAGATCACCGACGCTTAGCTTAGATGTATTTATTCTCCATTTAGTTCGGTGCTGTAATTCCACCACATATTCCCTCTGCCATCGCTGCCAAAAATGTAGACGAATTTGCTCTAGACGTTTGTATCTTTGTAATGGATTTTGATTAAGATCTAAAGTAGGTACTGCCAATGCTGAAAGCGGTCTTCCAACGAGGAAGTGCCCTGGGGATAGGAAAAGGTAATAAATAATAATAAGGAGATTAGGATAACGAGTACAATGGGCGACTATTAAGAATAGCTTCCACTGGAGCAAACAATGTTGAAATTTCTTCAAACGTAAGACGGCTATTCCCTATAACGCACTTTATAAAATTTTTAGCTGATTTTACACCAGCTTCAAACTCCTCCGTAATGAGAGGCGTAAGCCGGAATAAAGCAGAACTTTATCCCTTCACCAGATGCAAAATTGGATAGAGAATCTTTATTAGTTTTAGAAATATGCTTAATTCTTTAGCAGTGGCTACAAAGTTTCGGCCGTTATCTGATAAAATTTTCACTGGCTTGCCGCGATGTGCTATAAACCTTCATAAGGACATTAGAGAAAAAAAAAAAAAAAAAAAAAAAAAAAAAAAAAAAAAAAAAAAAAAAAAAAAAAAAAACTATGTTTAGTATAAAGCCACTAAGATGAATTATGTAGTATTTATTGTATTACCTACTAAATAAAGGATGAAATGATCAATATTAATCGCACTGTGAATATATTTATTAATTTTTAACATACGAGTATAAACACAATTATGGAATTACTAACTTTGTTCATACAAAACACAATACACGGTCTGCACAAGTGAAAGTTAATAATTTATAAATATTATCTTAATTTTATAAATAATTTATATGTTCAATTGATATTTTAACTATGTAAACAAAGTTTTAATAGGTTATTCGTCTTGTTTGATGGATTACTAGTAGGAATAGATGCATAGGTAGGACAAAGGAAGGGCACTTGGTTGTAATTTTAGTCCCAAATGATGTAGTGCGAGGCTTTGCCTGCTACGCTGACCGACTGTTCAGGTTATTTCACTCCATTTCCTTTGACCTCAAGGGCCACTAGCTGGATTCTATCTCTTGATTTTTGTCGCTTTCACGCCAAAAATTGCATCAGCACGAAAACTTTAAATTTTGGACCTGTACCTTTGTACAGTCCTGTCACGGTCGCCAAATATGTCTTTTAAGACATGTGGAGCAAATAAAAACCCGAAAGTAGTTAGAAGTAGCTTTATATTATTAAAGAAAAATATTTATACAGAGAGAGTTTATTTGTGCAACTACAAATTTTGTTATAATAAAAAAAAAAAAAAAAAAAAAAAAAAAAAAAAAAAAAAAAAGGTCATATGTAAATTTAATATGTCAGGCTTTAACACTAACTTAGCTTATATTTTTCAACACAATATTGTACACTGCTTTACGCGCTGACATTGATGTTCCTTTTCACTTTGGGTTTGCTGGAAGGGAACTCTTTTAGAGTTAAGCTCGCCTTTGTACATTTATTTTTCCTCTGTCATATTTTTATCTACTATTAGTGTGTACAGTAAAATATAAATAAAATTTAGTAAATTCAATATTGGGTGTCGATGATAACATAATGGAAGATAATTTTAATTCGATCGATAAAATGCTTCAACGTGCACCTGATGTACCAAGTACTTGTAGATTAGAAAAAAAAAAAAAAAAAAAAAAAAAAAAAAAGCTAGGTAGACATGTAACAGGCAGGTTTATTATATCCCGTGTCATATGCATTTTCTTTCGCTGAAGAGCAGTGGCAGGCCGTCGGTGATGCACTGCACGATGTCGGACTTGGGGTCGACGGTGGGGTGGCGCTTGGTGTCGGCGGCCGGCTCCACCGTAAACCGCGACAGCACCGCCGCCAGCCCCGCCAGCGACTGCATCACGCCCAGACGTTCACCTGCGCACGACACGACATCAGTACAGACAGGTACCACGATACATACCTACAATGTACAGCGAGACCCGCAAGAAATTAGGCATCAAATCATTAAACAAGTATGTGATGTGATGATGTTTCTGTTATCAACGTTTCCAACAAAGAAATATTAGTTAAATTAATTAAAAAAAAAAAAAAAAAAAAAAAAAAAAAAAAAAAAAAAAAAAAAAAAAAAAAAAAAAAAAAGAAATTGCTTACCTATACAAGATCTTGGTCCATCGCCGAATGGCAAATATACAAACTTGTGTATATTTTTGAAATTGTCAGGATGGAAGCGTTCAGGACGGAACTCGTCCGGATTCTCGAAGTATTGAGGATCATTGTGTAACGCCTGAACGGGTATTATAACAACGATGTCTTCGTCTATGGGTAAATTTATTTCTGGGAATGTATATTTACGTGCACTCTTTCTGATCAGGAACCCTAATGAAGGGAACATTCTCATCCCTTCTTTGAAAGTCCATTCTAAATACTCCATCTCTTTGATAGCATCATAGCTTAACTTGTTATCGTGTTTTGCTAAAACTCGATCAATTTCCTCTTGTACTTTTTTCTGAACTTGAGGATTATAAGCGAGTTGATGTAGCGTGTAGCTCGTTGCAGATGACGAGGTCTCAAATCCGGCAGCAAAAAATACAAATACCTGTGCAGCTATAAGGATGTCGTCCAATTCCAGCGAAGTGAGTTCTGGAGTGCCGTCCGATTTAACCTTTTCTATAGACTCTCCTTTGATTGTTCCTTTTCTTTGACATTCTAACATCAAATCTATAAAATCGTTTCTATTAGACGGATTCGCTATTCTATGTTTTAAAATTTCTCTCACAAACTGAATGAATTCCTCTTCTAATCTCGCTAAGTATTTTAAATGTTTGAAAGTATCCGGAAACATTTCCTTTAACATCCCGACGAAAATGTCTCGGAGAGTGAACTTGAATATTTTGGCCCCCAATTTCCTAAAAGCGGAGTCCTCCTCGTTGAGTGAGTCGGCATCAAGTCCGAAACCGCAGGCGCCTATGAAGTCGGTGGTGTAGCGTGCCATGAGGTCGCGCGCGTCGAGCGATCGGCCCGCGGCAGCAGATTTCGCGAGCCGCGCTTGCAGCTTCTCGGCGCGTTCCACGATCAACGGAAACATCGCCTTTAGTTTGCCGCTCGTAAACGCGGGCGTCATGCGTTGCCGCAGCAGCCGCCACAGGTCGCCATCCGCGAAGAACAGGTTGCGCATCAGGGGCTCCACCACCGTCTTGTGGTTGATCCCGCGAGGATAGAAATATCCGAAATCGGTGATGAGTACGCGTTTTATTATGTCCGGATCCCTGATGACCAGCTCCGGCATGGACGCCCTGTAGAAGCCCACTACCTTCTCATTAGGATACTTCCAATACACGTTCTCAGCTATCTGAGTAACACTTTTCTGCATTAGGTAAAACTGGATATTGTTACCAACGAAGGGCAAAGGCTTGTCATGTTTGATTCCTCTTTGTTCCCAATATTTATAGTGCCTGGAGGTGTAGAGGTACAGGACGGCGATAGCCAACGCGGCGATAACTAACGTAAACATGTTGCAGCGTGGATACCCGTTTGATGCAGACGCGCGTCTGTATATTGTTTATAAATGTGACTAAATAGCGCGGGCTATCACGAAGATAACGTAATCAACGCAACAAAACAGCCAAGTACGAGAGCTCAATACGAGCACTGTCCCCGCTACTAATAGAATGACTTAATAACCTCTAAAATTATCATTTAGATACTAGTAGGTACCAAGTTATTAATTTCATAACTAAATATGAATTAAGGAATTTCAATCGTCAAGAATTGTAATCTAACAAATTGATTGAAAAAGGAAAGAATTATCAAACTCAATTGAGAACCTGCTCATTCTGGAAGTCGATGGAAAATAAAATGTAGTTCGGTGGTACATCGTTTGAGACATGGCTAATATATATTTCATGTTCATAACTGTTGCATTATATTCTAGTTCTTATTGAGATTTCTAGTAATGGGGTTTAGTAGCCCCATTGCTAGCAATATACCGTGTCAGGCCGATCTCCTTGTGGTTCTCCCTGGAAACCACCGTGATTGATTTATTGTTAGATTCGTCACGGTGGGCTGACTAGTCTGCCTTACCCTCACTGGCGCTCCGCCAGTGTATACCGATAGAGCAGACGGGGTTACCATTCCATTATCATCCAAAAAAAAAAAAAAAAAAAAAAAAAAAAAAAAAAACTACCACCTGCGCTATCGGTATACACCGGCGGGGCACCAGTGAAGGGTGATAGGTGAAGATGAATCAGGTCAGTTAGCCCATCGTGACGAATTCAACAAGAATTGTTCACGATGGTTTCCAGGGGGAACCATGTGGAGGTCGACCTAATAGGGCATATTGCTAGCAATGGGGCTGTCAAACTCCATTGCTGACAATCCCTTTCCCCCCTCTGCTACCTAGTTAGTAGTTACATAAGGAATGTGTCTACGTTACTGCGCCAATGGACGTCGCAACTTTGAACTTTATTAAAATACGAACTAGCTACATCCCGTGGCGCCGTCTTATGATGCGGTTCGTGAGTCTATGGATAATGAGGGCAGCTATGAGCATTTCCTCGGCTGAAACCATTCGTGATTCGTGTCGTAGGCAATCTTTTTATGGATTAGAATGTAATAAATAGTGCTATTAGTGCAACTCATATAGCGAGCTACCGGTATACAGTTTAATGGTAATCCACCAGGAACTAACCATCATGATTTCCAGGGGGGACCGAGAAAGTGAACATGATGTAGTATATTGCTAACAATGGTGTTGCATGTTCCCATTACTAACAATCGATTCACCCCAGTATTATACCCCAACTATTATACTAAAACAATTTTTTTAACGTCTCTTAGACAAAAATAATTATAATTAATAAATAAAGACGTCGGATATAGCTCCGCTTGTCAGTCAGTCTTTGGATATTGAATTTAGTTCGATCCTTTACTAATGTGTACTAACTAAATCGTACTCCTTGATTATGACCTACCCAGTGGTAAAATAAATCTATATTATGCATGCTCGATGAAAAACAGATATTATATGTCAAGTATTTTATATCCAATTTGGATTTTAGTCGTGAACGTGTGTTTATTTTTATTTATTTTTTGTAATACAGATATTGTATTTTTACGGAACCCTAATACGAAATTATGAATTCCGTTTTTAAAACACATTAAGTGATACTCAAATAACATATAAGATAAGATAATACAAAGTATTAAATAGATTAAAACAATGAGCAAAGAGCTAAGCAAGATACCTAGACGCCAGTCAGTGACGTCTAATCGTACCTACTAATGTGTGTTATCTTCCACCGCTATATTTATCAGCGAACCGGTATGTACAATATAAGTAAAAAAAAAAAAAAAAAAAAAAAATGTATTGACCTGTGTAGAAATTTCGTACAAAACTCGTCTGCTTGGGTACCGCTGTCGCATTTTGTTTCTGCCGTGAAGGGATTGTTAGTAATGAGATCTAACAGGCTCATTAATATACCCTAACAGGTTGACCTCTATGCGATCCCCTCCTGGAAACTAATATATGGTTAATTTTTGATGAATTCATCACAAAAGGTCAACCGACATATCTACTTCATCCTCACCTATCATCTATCACTAGCGCCGCGTCAGCGTATACCGATAGTGCAGACGGGGTTACCGTTCCATAATCATACACAAAAAAAAAAACAATCTATTAATTATTGAGAAGACCAACAGCTTTTTCGGCAATAACAGTAAATATAAATTATAATGAGAAACAGTCAATAATAGGTCTTCACGGAATGTATAAATTCAATGGTTAACATTTGCATGCCATTTGATGTGGCAAAACATAATGGACACCTTGTAAACTTGACAAATGCAACATCTACGTTTCTGGCAAATAAATTCCATTTAAACGCATGAGATGGATGACAGCAAAGGCAAGTGCAAACACATATGTAAAATTATATATACGTTATATATTAATACTAGAAATATAATTATATATCGTTATTATTTTATTTTATTTCCTAAAATAGCATATGCAGCCATGTTCATGCTTGCTCATGCTGAGAGCGCAATATCAGAGATAATATCAACGGACATCTTTATCGACGGATTATACGAAATAAACTAATTTATTATGATTAACTAACCGCAACCTGTGTCTTTGTCCGCGCGAGTCTGTGTACAAAGTGCTATGTGTATTCAGTAAGAATACAACTTATCCGTGTATCAAGTTCCGTTCAAATCCGTTCTATATAGTTTTTATGTTCCCGAGGGACACTTTGTATTAAAGTCGTCTGCTTGGATACCTCTGCACCATTCGTGTTTCAACCGTGAAGCAGTCGTGTTTGCATGGCTGTGTTTCAGTTTGAAGGGTGGGATATGGCAGTTAATTTACAGGGTGTAGAGGAATAACATCTTAGTCCTCAGGAATGACAACGCATGGGGGATATCATGGACGAAACAGTCTACTCTGCTATCGCCATGGTACTGTTCATGTCTGTAGATGACGGTTACCACTTTCCATCAGGTGGGCCGACAGCTTGTTTGCTATTCAAAGTTTATTCTTTATTGTACATAAAAGGTTATTGAAATGGAAAAACAAACATAATAGTGCACAAAGGCGAGCTTATCTCCAAAAGAGATTTCTTCCAGCAAACCCAATATGAGAAAACTGACAGTTTATTAGTAGCTACCGTCATACATGTGAACCAATCGACTTAAATGTTATAGACAAAAAAAAAAAAAAAAAAAAAAAAAAAAAAAAATTGTTTTTAAGCATTGCTCCATGCATTCGTAATTACAAGTGTTCGCGTGTACAAGTTACAATAGTGTGGATGTCACTAGCTTGTGGTTGTAGGAGGGCATGTGAGGGTGTTTATTTTTTTATTTATTTCTCAGGACATTTTCTTATTCGATTTGAAAATCAAGCAATTGATCATAATCAACAAAATGCTGGAAAATTGTGGCTACCTATATTTAGTATGTCAATTGAATTAATTTAGACTAGTCTTTCGAATAGTGAACATGTAAAAATAGGGGCTACAAAGCGGGAATTAAAACAACAGGTTAGTAAGTAGTAAACGGAATTTATTCTGTTAAACATAAACAATACAATTAGAAGCTGGCGCACAGCCAGCGCTCGGCGCGCCGCCGCCGCCGCCGCCGCCGCCGCTAGAGAGCGCGGGCGGCGCGCGCCGACGTTTACAACTAGTGTCTTTTAGTGATACTCGTATCGTCAAGCAAACGACCGCACGCACCGCATCGCACCGCACCGCTCGGCCGCGCGCGATCGTGTCACTCAATAAATGCACTTAATCGTTATTTAAGTATATAGCGGAAACTACAGAGCACGCTGAAGTTACATTTGCTCGTACATGACAGTGATACATACAAACTATGGTACAATGCTATAGGCTATGGTGTACCATTTTGCATCGCTCCAGGGCTAAGCCCCGACCGGCCCGTCACGGGCCAGTCGCATTACATTAAGTGGTCCCACATGTTTTTACTTCACTTCAGATTTGATCCAGCTTGTGCTTTCCATTTATTCCTGAACTCAGTAGGAACGTCTGCATTCAAATTAATAATAAATAATACGATTATAATACATCGTAATGACTATTCAAATGCAAATACAACTGTATAATATTCGCTACATTCGTGCGGCAATTATTTTTTTTATAAATAATAATATAAAATAAAGAAAAATACACACACAATGCGTTGAGATTGTCAGAGAACTAAGGTCTAGTTTACATTACACTTCGAATGTGTCGAGTGGCCCCGAATACGGGTAAAACCACAATAAAGCATCTACACGTTTTAAAATTACTGTTAAAACGTTTCTACTAAGTATAAGGTATATACAGATCGGGCGGCGGCGCGCGGCCGAGCTCCAGCCGCCGGCGGCTCCATTCACCTAATGACATGGTCCGACTAACATATTGGAACCATTCGAATTAATCGTCGATTTATGTCGATTCTGAAGTCATTCAATCATAATACAATTGATTGGTTTTCGTGTTGAATATTTTATTATTTAATTAAAATATACGATTATAAACTATATATTTATGTTAAGACTGAATACAATACAAATAAACAGACTTTCTGCATTGACAATTATGTAAATACCATTTTTGAACGAGTCTTCGACCGGACGCCTGGCGGTGCGGCGCCAGGAGCGGGCGGGTGCGTTGCCGTACAGCATCGTGTCACATTACATCACTATAATAATTATATTGCTATTATGTTACAATAGTTATTTTTTTACACATCGAGGGACCAACTAGCTCTATACGTATATAAAACGTTCTCGACGGCAATGTTCCCGTCTAGTTAATTTCAGTGTATAATAATTCCACAGTAAAAGTATATAAAAGGCCGATATATACATACGGCGCCGCGATGCGACGCCACAGACAAATAGTACAATAAAAATGCGATTAAAGGCATCGACACGCGACCGCGTCGCGCGACGCCGCGGCCGGTCGCGGTCGCGGTCGCGGCGGCGCGCGACTCGGCGCTTATAATTTTGAGGTAGGTACTCGGATTACACGGGCGAAGGCGACATCGAAATTCCACTAGCGGTGCGACCGCGACAGACGATACAAAATATTATATAAACTAGATCGCTTCGATACATGGAAGGAACCCGGACTCGGTTCACGGTACGGTCTGTAGACTTCTATAAAAATATATTTCCGCGCAGAATTCTCGGCGACCGAAACGAACCGAACCGGCCGCGGCACGCGCGATACGTACAAAAACTTAAGTAACAACTGGAATATGTCGCGACGTATATTTTTCTAAAACTTTCTAGACCGTCGGTCACGGCGGCGCCAGGATGGATATTGTCTTATAGGCCGGGGCCGGCGCCGGGCGGGTGGCGGCGGGCGGCGCTCGTCACTGCGCGTCGTCCCCGTTCCGCTGCGGCTCCTGCAACAGGCGGCGGGCGTGAGCGGCGCGGCGGCGCGGCGGCGCGGCGCCGGCGGCGATACGTACCTCAGGCGTGAGCGGCGGCGCGGCGCGCGGCGCCGGCGGCGCGCACAGCGCGGTCCACTCGCCGTCGGGCGCGTACAGACACTCGACGCACGAGAGGAACTCCTTGCCGTCGAAGCCGCCGGCGGCGTAGAGCGCGTCGGCCAGCACGGCCAGGCCGAGCGCGGCGCGCGCGCGGCGCAGGTCGGGCCCGGGGCGCCAGTCGGCGGCGCCGGGCGCCAGCCAGTCGGTGCGGCGCAGCGAGGCGGCGCCGTCCGAGCCGCCGGCCGACACGAGGCGGCCGCGCCACACGGCGCCGCCCACCGAGCGGCGCGCCGTGGGCAGCGCGGGCCCGGCGCGCCACGCGCCGCCCGGCCGCAGCGCCTCGGTGGAGGCCAGGCAGTGCCACGCGTCGCAGCCGCCCAGCGCCCACAGCGCGCCCTCCCACGCCACGCCCGCGCACTGCGACCGACCTGCGCCCGCGCACCTGCCTCGTCTCATTCTAGTCCACTATCGATCTTGTCCAATCGAAAATAAGCTACAGTATATTTCTCAAATATTTTGCGGCCATGGAGTATTGTGTGGTCAATTATGTAATTAAAATTTATAAATTCTCTAAAGTTACTCAACAGAAACTACGAGCGTGGTAAATAGACAAAAGCAGAAGCTTGTCGCCCGGTGATTTAATACGACGAGGTCGACAGGAACGTATATTTCAACTGATTTTCAGTTGACTCGCAGCTGACAATTCGTACAAAATAAATATTAATTTTGCCGCGTGGACTCGGCACAGGATGAACTCACGACGACGAAAAAGGAAGGGTCCTTTTTCGCGGGTGTCGTACTCATCGATTAAAGAAACTTAATAGTCGAGGGATGAGCAGCAGAGTTCGTCGAAAACAAACACTTAAATTTGACCGTAGTCGCTAACTCGTCTGTCAAGTATGGCAATTCCTGGCAAAGTCTTAGCTACTTTAAATCCTCAGATAGATAACCATAGACACAATAATAAATAAATAACAAAGAAATTAAAATGTAAATGATAGAGCGATACACTAAATCTCTCTACCATGGAAATTTTCTTATCACACTACATGCGCTAATTTAGATATGACACTTCACGAAGCTCACCAATGTTGAGCGACGGCGCCTCGGTCCAGGCGTCGTCCGCCGGCGAGTACTTGTGGACGGTTTTGAGGCAGAGCCCGCCGGCCCAGCCGCCGATCACGTACAGCTCGCCGCGCTCCTCGTCGACGGCGGCGGCGGCGTGCGAGCGCGCCAGCGGCAGCCGCGCCGCCGGCCGCCAGGCGCCCGCGCCGTCCGCAGCCTCCTCGTACACGTCGACCGAGTCGAGCTCGGCGTGGCCGTCGCTGCCGCCGAGCACGTACACGGCGGAGCCCAGGCGCGCGGCCGGGAAGCGCGCGCGCGCCGAGCGCAGCGCGGGCAGCGCGCGCCACGCGTTGGCGGCGGCGTCGTACGCCTCGGCGTCCCGCAGCACGCGCGCGCGGTCGTAGCCGCCGCACACCAGCAGCCGCCCGCCCAGCGCCGCCGTGCCGTGCGCGCAGCGCGGCCGCGCCAGGTGCGCGCGCCGCTCGCCGCCCGCCTCGCCGCCCAGCGCGCCGCGCGGCACGCCGGCCGCGCCGCGCCGCGCCACGCGCGCCGCCGCCAGCCGCCCGCGCAGCGCCAGCAGCGCGCGCGTGGCCGCGCCGCGCCGCCCGCGCACCGCCAGCACGCCGCCCGCCGCCGCGCGCGCCGCGCGCTCGCCCAGCTGCAGCGCCGCCAGCGCGGGCGGCGGACGCGCCTCGCGCCGCCGCTCGGCGCGGCCGCGCTCGGCCGCCTCGCGCCGGTACTCCTGCAGCTCGGGCGCGTCGCCGCGCTCCTCGGGCAGCTCGCCGCAGTCGCGCAGCTCGCCGCGCGCGTCCACGAACAGCAGGTGCGTCCGCGAGCACAGCTCCTCCAGCTGCGCCACATGCCGACAACGCGCTTCAAAAATGTACTTGTACGATTACATGTCGGCCGAGGCGACACGATACTCACGTCGACGTCGGCCGCGTTCCGGTCGCGCAGCCACGTCAACACCGCGTCGGCGACCGCGACCGGAGTCTCCTCGTCGCCCTCGGTGCTGCTCTCGCACAGCATTTCGATCCGGATCAGCGGAAGGGCCGCGAGCGCGCCGCTCTCGCATATCTCGTCGAACTGGAAGAATTTGTAGCTTTACGCTCCGGTCCGAGCGGGAAAGCCGGGGAGGTCGGGGGCGGGGGCGACACGTACGTTCTGCGCGATGTAGGCGTCGAGCTGCGCGAGGTGGTGCGGCGCGAGGTCGGGCAGCGCGCGCAGCTCGAGGCAGTCGGCGGGCGCGAGGCGGCGCAGCAGGCGGTCGGCGAGGTGCGCGCGCGCCGTCTCGAGCCGCAGGCGCCAGGCGGCGCGGTAGAGGCGGCGCGCGGCCGCCGCGTCCGGCACGCGCAGGCGGCCCGTGTACACGTACTCGAGCAGCTCGCGCAGCGCGTCCGGCTCGACGCCGTCGACGCGGTAGGCGGGCGCAGTGGGCGCGGCGGGCGCGGGCGCGGCCAGCACGCCCAGCAGGTAGGGCGAGGCGGCGGCCAGCACGGCGCGGTGCGCGGGCAGCTCGGCGCCGCCGGCCAGCAGCAGCACGTCGTAGTGCTGGCGCGACTTGCGCAGCGCATTGAGCGCGGCCAGCGCGCGCGCCGGCGCGGCTTCGTCGTGCAGCGACAGCTCGTCCTCGAGCGCGGCCGGCGCGCCTCCCTCCTCCGCCTCGCTGTCCTCCTCGCCTGCACACCATACACACTACGTCACGCTAGCGATCTGCTGGGTGACCTCTCTAACGATCTCCGTCCGCACACACTCGATGGTAATTAAATACGAAAACCTCGGTGTACATAAATGAGGTTCATATTTTTATGATAAATAAGAAAGGACGAATACGAGCAATTAAGCATGTTGTCAGATTTTTTAAATACCAATTTTTTTATTTAATTTATTATTTGGTCTTCTTCATATATTACGTAATTTCGTGCAATCCTTGTCCTCGATTCGTTCGCGCTACGTCTTGGTACAGAGTTACAGAGACGCTACAGTTAACGTAACTTTTATTAACGTCACCGAAGCGCCTGATCACGCGACATGACGATAATCGATTCTTAAAAAATACTGATATACTGCGCGGCCCCGGTTTACTCGCTAGTAGCTTATTAAATTTCAGACTTTAGCTGTGTGTTTATGTTTTGATCATGCCGTGTACGCAAATTTTTGGAGGATTAGCTTGAACAAAACATTATTGTACTGTATAAATTAATGTAACTATGTTAATTCTCTGTAATGTGTACCTATTGAAATAAAATACAAAAAAAAATTCGTCAGAGATTTGGGTATTCAAGAAAACAGTTGACGGGACAAATGAATACGATGGAACAGACGTAATAAACCATAGATTAAGGACATTTTTATTTTTAAATTAAAGATCTGCTGCAGTTCGTATACGTAACTTTGTTTCTATGTAACTAAAATATGTTTATTTTTTTCTGGTTTTTGGCTACAAAAGAATATCAGTGTTTTTTTTTTTAGAGAACACCAACTAACTGAGTTGGGACCATTTTGTGTTATTAGGGCACATGCACGAAAGGAACAAAAAATTTACTTATTTTATGTATTTTCCTTTTTTCTGTATATGATTTCTTTTATCTCTGTTTTTATGTCTATCTACGTCTGTTATTATTGGTCTACTGTAAGTAATGCAAATAAATTATTTATTTAATTTATGCAAAACTTTATTTAACTTTGTACGTTGTATTGACAATATTTCATAGGATCGTGTACCGCAGCATGCCGCTCATAAATCATGTTATTAATTTAATCTCCGTGGTTTGTCAGTATCCTCCGAGTTGTTACTGAATAGGACCTACGTATACACGCGACGGCTGCGACGGTCACACGACTGCCACTATGCTATACCACGCGACATTATTAGAACAAAACATTCGATCGCAATAAATAAATCCTGTGGGATTAGAGAAAGATCGCGTTAATGCGGAAGCACATTTAAAATAGCTCAGTACAGTAAATAGTGCAGTAATGAATTCGTTTATAAGATACAAAAATGCTTTTGTTTCCGACATCTCTCTATTGTAACGACAAAACTTTTTTCTTTTTTTTTATAAATATATTCAACTTGGGAACTTTCTTCCTTGTATATATTACTCATCGTCATTACAACTCCCGCTATCCACTGCTATTCTGTTCTTCTTAAGTTTCGTCATAAAGTACGGGTCCGTTACAAGGCACATGCTTTCACCTAATTCCAGCAACACTTTTGAAGTTAATCCACTACAATTCAGCTTTCGAGAATTAATCTTCCTCACCAGTTTGGTAGCCTATACTAATATGTACAATTTAAGTTAACAAAAAAGCAGAGAAAACTGTAATTCGTCCATCGTGTTGAAACTATTAGGTGGTAGGAATATGGACGATACTGACTAGTCGTGGCCACAAGTAACGCTCGCTGTCTGCGTAGGTTACGTATCACTTGTATCTCTGTACTTCGCACTTTATGTACGCAGTGTAGCGAGTACTGTAAACGAGAATATAAAAGACGATCTTATTGCTAAAATTTCATCCGGACGTTCTATTTACAATAGTGTAAATGGAATGTCTGGATTACACATCGCGGGTATTTGGATAATAAATAAATTACGGTGGCACTTGTTTTCTGCGTCGCGTCGGCGGGCGCACAGATTTTGAAAATGCGAAATCCAAAAAGATATACAGAGTCCAATATCGTCCAAAGTCGATATGATTTCACAACTTGTAATTTATTTATTTATTTTGGAAAACGTACAGCTGAATTACAGTCAATACATAATCAAATTTATATCTATGTTAAGCCATGTAATATTGCATTGAAAGCAATTTTTCGATTTAAGATTTTATTTTACATATAAAAATAATTTTCAATTTAGATAGTATGAATAGGTACGCTCTTTCTGTTTATGAAATCATCAAAACCGACCATTAGGTGGACCGTTGAGAATCTCTATATATCTTTTTTTATACCACTCATGGGGCAAATTAGAATACAGTTCACCTGTTGGTAAACGTTTAGCGTAGGCTATGAACACCTGCAATACCAGGGGCATTTCGCACGCGTTACCCCACTTTCTGAAGAACCCCATGCTGTAGATTCTTGGAAATACCTCGATAGGAAGCATTAGGTAAACTGAGATTCTATAGCCTGAGCGTTCGTGAGAGGCAACATCTCAGAAACCGCGCTATACGCGACCATCCAGGCTCCGAGGTATAGGGGGGGGGGGGGGGTGACGTCTCCGTCGGTGGCGAGTTGTAAAGTAGCTTTAGTCGTCTCTTTAATAATATTTTCACGATAGAAGAATCGGAGGATATACGGTCATTTGCTCTCGTAATAGTTATGCTACTCTAGCTGCGGCATGCTGTATTTATTATTTTTTGTTCTGTAGTTCCGCTCAAGTCGTTTCAGGTAGTAAGTAGGTTTGTATCGAGCGTTGAGACAAAAACCGCTGAATCATCGTTATGAATAAATAGCCTTGCGGTGTCAACAGCGGAAGGTAACGGCTCGGTTCAATAACGAGGGCACCGGCAGCACGGGGCGGCGCAGGGCGGCGGCAGGCGGCGGCGGCGGCGGCGGGCGGCGCGACCTCTAAGGCCGAGATTGCACGCTACTCGTTATTGCAATTTCGCAGCGCCCTACATTTGTCTTACTACATATAAATACGACAATGCATTGTACAAGTATAATCCGTTTTTCTATTCTTGACATGACTAATATAGCTAGCTACTCATCAAATTTACCCCTTTAATAATAAAAAAGTCATCAAATAATTTTAATTTTTATATTTCAGTTATTCTTTATGTTGTACACTCCTATTTTACTAATTGTTTGATTGTTTACTAATTGTGAAAATAAAAATGAATACTGATTATATAAACCTACACATATCACTGTGTACTTGGTTATTGAGTTAGTATTTGCATCTAGTGGTGACATTGTAGGAAACTACTCATCATCAAGTAACTGAGAAGTAAAAGCACTATACACCAGTGCAAAGGGAGGAAGCCCAGAATAAAACTGCCTGCTGGCCTGTGCCAATATAATATATATATACTCCAGTTATAAGAGAAAGCTCTATATGAAATAATAGGATATTACCTAGCAACACTAATGCTATGTTTAACCACAGAAAATTTTCAACTTTTTTTAGAGACAAGTACAAAGAAAAAGCAATTTTACTGTCGTTTACATAACTGGATATAAAATATCTTTATATTATTATTGTACAGGTTCACTTTACTTTTTTATTAGAATTATAAAAATCCCAACCAATTAAAAATAAATTTCTATAAAAAAAAATTAAAAGAAAACTTGAAAAAAGTGTTATATTTGAAAAGAGAGCAGTGTCAAAAATAAGACAATTTTACTGAAATGAAATATTTGTGAAGATTATTTGTCAGTAAATTACATTTAAACAGCTGTATGGAGTTTTAATGTGATACACTAATGGATCATATAGAAGAAATAAATAAATAGCAGTTTAACACGTAGACTACTTTTAATTCTGCATGCAAGTGATTTGAAAATGAATTATTCTTCTAAATTATGTTACAAAGATAAAATATATTCTTACATTGGGGAACCAATGACCCGGCAACTAGCAATATAGCTCAAAGCCAGCTAGAACTGAGGTTTCAAAAACTGAAACACTTAAAGATAAAAAATTAAATATAAAAGAATAACATTAAAATCAATGCTGATAATGTATCATTATTTGGCCATATTACTTTATTATCATGTCAAGATATGACATTCTTAAACTTTCCTTTACACACTTTAGATAAGGGGGAAACTTCCTTTAAAATACTGATACATAATGCTGCATAATCACATACAAAGTAGTGATGCATTATCTCCACTATGATACAAAGTAATTACAGATGTTGAGAGTACAGATGTTGCCAGTCATTTATTTTTATGTAATAGATAACTCAGCATATTGACATCTGTGATAAAGTAACAAATTAGTAACCATCTACTCGATCACCGCAAGCCATCATTAGTACATTAATAACAATTTAATTACTTGTTTATAACTAGCCAAAATATAAATATTAATTGAACATAATTTGCAACTGATAATACAAGAAAATATAATTAATAAAACACGAAAATGATATAAACAAGGCAAAGCCATTGTGTAGTGTGACATTTTACATGTGTTTCTTATTCTAAAAAAGATAAGCTAAGATTTAGATATGGCCTCTACTTGATAGTAAAATAGGGACTGAGAGTTGGTGGGGAAGTTGGCAATCAAAAACCCCACATCAGACATAAGACCAGTGATGTCATAATTTAGCAAAGTGATAAACTGTCTAACTAACAATCTTAACTGTAGGCATGTACAAGCAGTGAGTGACATGCCATTGGCCAATTACTTCAATTGCTCCTGAGCCCCACTCAATATTACACACACTGGTTCACAGCACATTGCATAACTAATATATAGTTTCGTTATAACCTGTAGGGAAAACACTGCATAATATATAGGATAGTTTATAATGAAATTATTCTAAATTGACTTCATAAGTCAACAACACATGATAATATATGATGAGTTAATGAAATACACTAAGTATACTATGTTGTTTATTCAATGGTGGGCTAGGGAGCAGGTTATTTTGTAATTGAACCCAAAACAGCACTGTTTGTAAACACACCTGTTACTATAATCTATCCTGATACGGTAAAGCCAACATACCGTCTCCGTTGCGGTAGTCGTCTTGAGGTTTCATGTCGGCGACTGGTTTAGCGGGCCGGTTCCTTATGCCTCCGTCGGAGACCTGCGCACAGACGGATCGTGAGTGGTCGCTAGGGCTCTGTGCGTCGAGAGGCGGCGCCGGCCTGCTCACCGGCGGGTGCCTCTTAACTGGATTATACTGGAAAACACGTGGCCGCAACTAGACACGGCAACGGCGAGCGACGAGCGACGAGCGACGAGCGACGAGCAAGGCCGCGACGTAGTTAGCAGCAGTCACATGGCCGACGTAAACAAACCCACCTGATGCGCCGATGCTGTGTGTGCAGCCGCCGACCGAGCACTGCGCTAAACGCGAGCACGGCCGCGACGGACGCTTTGTGTTTTAATTAAATTAAATTCATTACGCGATCTTATAAGAATACCTAGCGAAGGCTCTACACGAGTCAAGTCAACGACACTAGAGATACTTGTTTTGAATTGTGAATGAACTTCTATTATCTGACAGATATTAGACACTTGTTATGACAGTGACTTTGACATTTTATAATAGAAAGATTGTATTTAGTATATCTCTTAGTCTTAGGTATGTCTACATTTTGATCTAAAATCGACGTCATTCATACATTTTTTTCTATAAATATTTTTACGGCTTGGGATATTCAGAGTCAGTCTATCTTTTGATTTCTTGAAGATTATTTTTGTAAATTATTTATAAATAATTCGGTAAATGAAGTTTGAAAATTCATTTTAATTAATTTTCATGTTTACGAACACATCTTCTAATAAATTACGATAAATAAGTGTAGAAAGATAATAAAAGTCAGTGGTCGGAAATTGCTCGCCTTTCTACTTTATCCTGATGATATTTTAAAAGATAGGTACATATTCATAACTACGTTTTCATGAGCCGTCTCGATGTTAACGGTTTAGTGTAAGTGCGTCTCCACTCCTAGATAGGACTGCTGGAAATAAGGAGTAAGAAAATAATCAGAAAATTTTGAAGATAAATGAACGATTACATTTTTTACGTAGCTCAGAATTGGCGACTACAGTTCATCGGATGGAAAGAGGGAGGATGTCGAATTTTCATTTTTATAACTGCAAGCGAACAGATCTATTTCTTTTCTAGTAAACAATTGAAACTCGAAACGGGGAGGAAAGAACCGAAACGGTTCCCGGGCGATAGATTTTGTTTCAGGAGGTGACGAGCGGGAGAACGAAAAAGAAACGAGATGAGTGTCAAAATGCATTTATTGTGGTAGTATAGGAAGCGGGCCGGCGGCGCGGTCAGCGGGCGCGCTCGGCCTGCGTCTCGAGCAGCAGGCGCGCGAGCGCGTGGCGCGCGCCCAGGTTGAGCCGCCGCAGGCCGGCGCGGCCGCGCAGCGCGCGCAGGCAGCGCAGCGCGGCCGCGCCGGCGCCGCCGCCGCGCGCGCGGCAGGGCGGCGCGCGCGGCGCCAGCAGCAGGCCGGGCTCGGGCGCGCGCACGCAGCGCAGCGCCGCCGCCAGCACGCGCGGCGCCGCCGCCCGCGCGCCGCCCTGCCCCGCGCGCGCCCACCGCGCCTCCGCTGCAACACGCCCGCGGTCGTTGCAATCGACAGGCTAACATTTTCATACATCTATCGTTGACCATGCACGTTCTATTAGATATACAACATTCATGTTCTACTAACAAATTTTCTTTACCGCGCTCTTGTAATGTTTATAAAATATAACGCATTTTTTTTATTTTAGTAAATTAGTGTAGCATGTAAGACGCGGGGCGGGAACGCTCACCGTCGTCGTAGTCGCGACGGTAGAAGGCGGCGAGCGGCGCGTCGGGCGCGGCGTGCGCGTTGAAGCGGCCGGTGTCCTGCTGCGGCCGCTCGCCGCGCTCGTCCACGAAGCGCGGGTGCGCGAACTGCGCGTGGCGCGCGAACGGCACCGGCCAGAACCACTGCACGCCCAGGATCGTGTTCATGCGCACCTGCAGTCGCGCCGCCGTCGTTAGCGTCCACATATATTATATAAGGCGTTACCAAATTACCAAACAATTATTTAAGTGGACATAGTATTACACATATACGTTACGATAATGATAGAATTTCGTGTCTCAAATGTCATAAAATTTTTCATACATAAAATTAAATCTTAACAAATGTAAAATTTTCAGCCTGTGTAAAAAAAACGACGTTACCGCTATAGTATTTCAATAACTCTGGAAGTCAATGAGCAGCCTTAAGAATGACGCAGTTGACTAGAAAATTAAGAAAGACATTTAATTGAATAACTATCTTTGATTATTGCGGGACATTTACCTGTGACCAATGCCAGCGATCGCGCTCTAATTTCATTGGCGCGTCCAGGACACAGTCCACGTGGACCACAGAATTTTTTAACCACAGAGTAGTTATGTATCTGATGTCGACGCGTTGTGTTTTTGTTTTCGTAATTACACGTGAACCTAGCCATATTTCGTGTGCAACAGTGTACTATCTTGAAATTGTATTTTGTTTTCGAGAATATGCTAATATCACTCACTGTGATATTAGTACAACAACATAACAACCGACGGAGTCGCGACCAACAGTGTGATAGAAAAAAGTATAGTTATAGGACGTTTTACATGCAGTGAAGAATCTTAAGTATTTTATCATTTTTTTTTAAATAATCTCATACGACTTCGACATGAAATTCCTTTTTTATCGTTATATATATGTAATACTATGCCCTGTAGTAGGGAATGCAGATAATTTGGTAACACTTTATATATACGCAAATTTTAGCATGTTAATTCAATTCGTAGCACAATTCGTAGAAGAGCTGTCCGTTTAGTGATTTTGGTCTCGTTTTTGTTTCTTCCACAAAGTATGATTTGAGGGGCGAAATCATCATCATATCAACTGTTAAACATGGAACTCCCCCTTTTGAGGGGCTTTGCTAGTGAGTGCTACGCTCGGCAGGTATGTTTCGGTGATGATTTAAGATAGCGTTGCTGGGCTGATGGGTGAAATAAGATAGTGAAATAGTAGAATATTCAGGTGTAATATCACAGCCCAAAGGATAAACTGGGAGTACTAGAAGTTATAATTTTTTATCGTGTCCTGTTAACTAGCTTGCTATCCATAGTCGCATAAAAAATGTTGTGCAATATCGAGCGGGGCGGTGTGCGGGCGTGTGTGCGTGTGCGTGTGTCCGTGTGTGCGCGCGTGCCGTACCCTGTTGAGGAAGTCCTCGTTGAAGTCCATGTGCGGCACGGCCAGCAGCAGCAGCGCGTCGCGCGGCACGTGGGCGCGCGCCGCCGCCAGCGCCGCGGCCGCCGCCCGTCCCTCGCCCGCCGCCGCCGCCGGCGCCGCGTCCAGCACGTCCAGCTGCGCGCCGCGGTGGCGCGCCGCCAGCGCCGCGACTGCGTCGCGCAGCGCCGCCGCCTGGCCGGCCGCCGCCTCGCCCGCCTCCGACACCAGCACCTGCGGCCCCACCCTCCCGCTCAGCGACTCGGCCCCGGGCCCGCCGCGCGCCCGTGCGCACTAATATTATTATAAACAAACGGACCACCCGAGCCCCGGTGTACGGCAATACTTTTCCTGTCCCGCCTATATGTCGACGAGGGTACGTTTGTCAAAAACATGAATACCAGCCGGTGAAGCAGAGGCGACTCGTAGGACCGGCCGGAGCAAGTACTGTGACAAATCATCCTCCATTTATCTCTATGGGATTCCTCCCGAAGAATGGTAAAATTCAACGAGGTAAACTGTCTCCCCTGTACGCAAACTCTGAAAATGCCTAAATTGATTTGAGACGAGTGAACGAATCGGTAGGAGCGCTACGTACGAGCAGCAGCGCAGTGTTCTTGTCGCGCGCGAGGCAGACGGCCTCGTAGCGGCGCAGGAAGGCGAGCGTGTCGGCGACGACGTCGTCGGCGGCGACGACCGGCAGCGCGACCGGCAGCAGCACGGTTATGCGCGCGCTCTCGGTGACGTAGGGCACGGGCACGAGCCGCGCGGCGCCCAGCGGCCGCGCCGCCTCCACGAGCCGCAGGCCGCCGCCGCCGCGCCGCCGCAGCAGCAGGCGGTAGTAGAGGCCGCGCGGCGGCTCCCAGCGCCAGGCGCCGCCCACCACGTCGCAGTCGCCGGCGCCGCGCGCGCGCGCCCACGCCTGCACGCTGCTCACCACCAGCTGCAAGCCGCGCCGCGCTACCCTCAGTGGCTTCCGACTCTCCCTCCAATACTAATTTAGGATTTATGCATCTTGGAGATACAAGAAACCTATAGACGTGTACAGTGCTATAGATGTACCAGAATTTAATGTGACCATGGTAACACTCATGCCCTTGACTACTCGCGAACTCCGCCTTCATACCTTGTAATTTCACTTTCTATCCCATTATTTGAATTCCAACATATGCACAGACGATTTTTACAAAAAAGTTTCTCAAAAATATTAACAATTTGATTACCTTCAAATAGCGAATTTAAAAACATTTATTTTTACTCCAGAATTATTTTGAGTGTAGAATTTGAATAAAATTAAAAGATAATAAAAAAATGTCATAACGGTAGCGACCTGCAGCGCATCCCGGTAGGAGCCGCGGAGGGCGGTCACCGCGTGCAGGTCGTCCGGCAGGAATGCGTGCGTCGCGTTGAACGTCGTCCAGCGCAGGTGGTCGAACCTGCCGCCAACCCGTAAACGGTTACAGACTTACAATACACACTGCTACTACTCCATACGTCATCGATACTATTCTCCATTTCATTTTTTATTATCAGAATAGCAGTGATTAAACAGAAGTAGATTTTAAATAAAAATAAATAAGCACTTGAACAATTTCCAGGCAATGCTAAATAAGATTGAACTGAAGTAGCCAGAGCATCATTGAAATATGATTTGCATAAATCCGTGGATGCAGAGGTGACATGTGAGGGCAGCGCGCAGCACCTGGAGGCGGGCGCGGGCGCGGCCAGCCCCACGTCGGCCCGCAGCCCGCCGGGCCAGGTGGCGTTGCGGTAGTGGCGCGGGTGGCGGCCCGACGTGCGCCACACTTCCTCTCGCAGTCGCCGCTCCGCTTCCTTCGCGCGCTCCAGGAACACCTGCCGCACATCATTCTAGTTCACTTGGACTGAGCGAATACGCCATAGAAATATTCATCTGTGACGCCAAGCATTGGCGGGTGTGACTGTATTAAAAGTACATACCCGAGAGACGTACGCGTGCAGCCGGTAGAAGTGATCGGGCTCCATGATGGGGTACGCGGTGACGGCGTCCGCCAGCGCCGGCGTCAATCCTCCCGCCTCCCCGTCTTCCGCCTCCACGCGCATTGACATGTAAGTCTCGCCCTGCAGGTAATGCGGGAATTCGAATAGCTCGTATACTCAATAGTTCGAGGGCAAAAAAGGAGTACATTATATTAAAACCCATGAAGTATTTCTATTTAAAAAACTTTATGAAGACTGGCAATATCAGTGCAGCACGCAGCGGCCGAGGTTCTCGTGGTGAAGCGGCGAGTGCGAGAGGTTACCTGCAATGCCGAGGTGCAGTGGCGGTGCGCGGCGTGCAGCACGCAGCGGCCGAGGTTCTCGTGGTGCAGCACGCAGCGGCCGAGGTTCTCGTGGTGGCGCGGCAAGTGCGAGTGTGAGTGCGAGTGGTTACCTGCAGTGCCGAGGTGCAGTGGCGGTGCGCGGCGTGCAGCACGCAGCGGCCGAGGTTCTCGTGGTGGCGCGGCGTGCAGCACGCAGCGGCCGAGGTTCTCGTGGTGGCGCGGCGAGTGCGAGTGTGAGTGCGAGTGGTTACCTGCAGTGCCGAGGTGCAGTGGCGGTGCGCGGCGTGCAGCACGCAGCGGCCGAGGTTCTCGTGGTGGCGCGGCGAGTACGAGTTGCGCACGCACCAGTCCAGCTCGCCGTGCACCGCGCGTAGTACAGAGTTCGATAGCAGGATGCCGCCCTCTGTCCACCGACATGCACTTTTTTTTTAATCGATTACGAATTACTGAAAATGTAATGCCTATAATATTCATACGTATAAAAATCACAAGACACCTTTTTTATTATTGTTGTATAGATTATTGTAGTGACATACCTAGTGAGCAGTAGTGGCTGTCATCCTCCGCAACGGTGCCCATGTAAATATCCTGACTGACGCTCAGCTTGGAGACGAGCTCGGTGAGTCTGCGCGCGTTCACGAACGACGTGTCCGAGACCAGGAAGAAGAAGTCGTACTCCTCGAGGTAGTTGTCCGCGAGATACTTGAGCGCGTGGAAGGGCTTGAGCATCTCGCGCGTGTCGGTGAAGCCGACGACGTTGGGCAGGCCGGGCGCGGCCCGCAGCGCGCTGGCCGTGATGAAGAAGCGCAGCGCCGGCTGCAGGCGCGCCGCCGTGCGGTTGAGCGCCGCCGCGCGCGCGCCCAGCGCCGCCTGCGAGCTCAGCGCGCCCGCCAGCAGCGAGCCTGCGGCGCAGCACACGGCACACGGCCCACTGTCACGCACGCTACATCTACCGCTAGCCAGTCCATGGCATCGCGACGTCCACTCGCTTGTTCTTTCTTGTGCGAGTGATAACAGAAACAATTCAATGAATTGCTTCTTTTGGAACTTGGATTTTTATGACATCATTACTTACTGACATACAAAAATACCTGTCCTATCCTTTTATATCTAATTTTAAATGAGGATGATAAAAATAAATAAATAAAATCTTGATATTTTATTTATGAATATCCAGATTGACTTATGAGTATTTTTGTCAAGGTTTTAACAATAAAAATCTTTTTATATGCACATTAAGTGTATTGTTCTATAAATGAATGGTGGAACTAATGGATTTTAAAGTTGCAATCAGTTTCATTGTTGTGGCCCAAGTAAACAACTCCGGTAAATGCTCCTAGGATTTTAATATTAAAAGTACTTTCTACAGTCAAGATAATTGATGCAATATCAAGGTTTTTACTTTAATTCTAAAACTTTGAATATTTTAATACAACACAAACATTATGTATCAATAATTATAGAACATACGCATATGGTTGTATAAAATAAAGGGCAGGAAATCTAAGAAATTTATTAATATCTGTTTATTTAAAATTATAGTAATTTAAATAGCTTTCTAGAGATGTTAATATTCATTTGCAGTTTTCATTAATTATGTGAAGTCATACTATAAATATATAAATTGCAATTGTTCATCCTCTATTTTGGTAACATGAAGGGATCCATCATATACATATTTTGTTTAATAGGATATTTATTTGCTTTCCTATTTAAGAGCTGATGTGCCTTGGTCTACTCCTTCCTTACAATATTTCTAAATAGCATAAAACAAATTCACTGACTGATTTTTTTTTATAGTTTTTCTATTTAAACTTTTATTTCCTCAGGTTGGCCATTAGCTTTTTTGCCATCCTTAAAAATCCATCTTAAAAATATTATAATAAAAATAGTTATAAAATTATAAACCACCTCACATAATATGAATTAGAGTAAAAGGACTAAGAAGCTGTAAAGGACTAGAAAGTGATCAAATTATTTATAAAATATTGTGACTATTATATATAATATATATTAATATATTCAAACAATAAAAAAAGTTAAATTAGTAATTTTATTCTTATATTGGAATGACATTAAAAAAATTATAGTAAGTTAATTTCTAATAGACTAATCTCAAAACAGACTGTTCTCAAAAGTGTTATATCAAGTCTAACAGCACTTGTCCATGCCTCATTATTATGATCTTGTGGTCCATAATTTAATTAACAACATATCGGGGAGGGGGAAATGGATTGTTAGTAATGGAGACTGAGAATCCCATTGCTAGCAATATATCCAACCAGGTCGACCTCCTTGCGGTTCTCCTTGGAAACTATCATGATTAATTCCAGATGAATTCATCATGATGGGCTAACTGGCTTGTTTTCATCCTCATCGATCACCATTCACTGGTGCCCCGCCAGCGTATCCCATTAGCGCAGGTGGGGTTACCATTCCATTTTCATCCAATAAAAAAAAACATATCGGAGTCAGAATAATGACAAAAAAACTACTGGCTATGCCATCATGAGGGATATTAAGAAAGAGTACAATTAATATAAAAAAAAAAACTATTTTAAATAAAAATGTTATATCCAAATATAGAAATATGGTTATAATGTGGATATAGGCTGGTAATATGGATCTTATTCACATGATATACCACATCAGTCAAGCTGAACTTCTCCTGCAATATAAGAAAGAAATTAATTATTGTATATACATATTTTTTTACTACTCTATTGTTGTTGGCCATAGATTTTTCTTCTTTAGATGGCCAGGAAAGTTACACCAACATAATGTCATTGTGTATTTGTGTATGTATGAGAAAGGATATAAGTGTGTAAGAATAGAATGATAATTGGTTCTCTCTACGTACTCTAAAATATATTTTTAAAGATTACAGTACTAATAAAATTAAGTATACCTTTACTACAAATGAATTACATGAGTAATACTTTTCTTATAAGACCCTGTAATTATTATAATCAGTGGTTCCTCTCTTGAACATATTCAGTGAAAATCTAAACTTATATAAGAAACACATGAGAGACGAATTTAATGCAAACTCTGTATAATTAAAGATTGATGAATGTGGAAGAAGCGAAAAAGATTTGTTTGAATTAAAGCATTTGGCGTTCCATTGTTTCTGCCTACCCTAATGGGAGACAGGCGTGACGGGTGTGTATATATGTATGTATGTTATTATCTACTTTCATTTATTTGATGTGTTAGTTTATAGTAGAAACTTCACTGATATATGTTACCACTGTATTTATTATTAAATATCCATTTTTACATTGTGGAGGTTTGCATGTAGTTACCATGTTTGGCAAGCAAGTTGACTATCACATTTAGGTTTTGATGCCTTTAGTTGCCTCTTATGAGACTCACGGGAAAGGAAGGGGAGGCCCATTCTATGCTGGGACCACAAGGCAAACACGGTTTGTGGGGGTTACTGCTAAGAAATATCTATATTTTATAGCATACCTTTCATGCCCAGCTCGGTGCTGTAATATCTAGGCCGCTGGACACTACGGCCCGCCGTTTGTCCGGCGGGGCCCAGCGGCCTCTCTTCCCTGTGTGGTTCAAATTCGTCAGTGGGCGTGACGCTGCTTGCTGCGCTCTCTACGCAACTGGCCACGTCCTCCTCCAGGGGCACGGCCACCAGTGCCACCCACAGGCCGAGCACCAGGCCCACGAGGAAGAACGAATTGTGTTTCACTTGCGATATCACGTATCGGGAAAGCATAGTTGTGTGGTATTTAGACACTACACTTAGAGGGAAGATTATTTGTGTGAAGTTATGAAAGCTTAACTGTAAGTCATAGTAACTACTTCATAATGTTGGAAATTAGATATTTTTTATCAATATTTAATCAATTCTATATTAATTATCTAAATGAATTGATAATTATAGATAAATAAATTTCAAATTGAATAACATGACATGACACTTGCAGTCAATCCCTAATATTTTTTTTTTTTTAGTACGTTTGTTACGTTTGGAACAGGCTAAGGTCGGAGACCATGCTGCCTAGTTTTCAAAAAGATAATTTGTCTGGAATTTTATTTTTCTAATGTCGCTTCAATTATTGTCATAATCTTCAATATTTCATTTGTCAAATCCGGTAAGTACATTTTCATAAATATCTTTTCTTGAGTTTTCTTAAACCAGTGGATTTATCAAATTAAAAATAAATAATTATAAAAAATCATTGTCTTGCAATTCAATAAAAGTATTCTTATAGCTCCTTGAATGTTGTAGTAATATAAGTGAAAATAGCTTTGAAACAAGAAGGAAATCTTAAGAGAATCGGGATTGAGTGCGGGATATTTTCGGGTTTTTTGAAGATAATCCTAAGTTCGTCAAACATAATGTGTCTTTGAATGACAAATTCAGAGCAATCAAAAAAAAGGTGATGTAGAGATTGGGCTGTATTTGAGTTACACCATGTGCATGATGGGGAAGCGATCATGCCCATTCGGTGCAGGTGTTCGTTGAAATGTCCGTGGCCGATTCGTAATCTACAAATATTGGTGTAAAATTTTCTGTTTGTGTCCTTTCCTTTGCAGAACCACGGTTTTCCAATACGCCAATTAATTTTGCGGTACCATTTGCCTTTAGTCTGTAATATTTGAGTCCAATGCTCCTCCCATTTAGTTGTAACGATTTTATGTATTCCAATACTACAATCTGAGTAACAAAGGGGTAAATCTTGAACACGAGCAGCACTTGAATTAATAATTTTAGCCAAAGTGTCTACTTGTTCATTCCCAAACACTCCAATATGTGAAGGGGTCCAGATGAAGATAATATCTTTTCCATATATAGTACAGAGATGATAATATTTATTACGAATTTCTTGAATTAAGTAGTTTGATGATGAAATGAATGTGTTATTTTTTAATGCCATAAGAACACTCATACTATCTGTAATTATAATCCATTTCGAATATAGTACCTGTTTTTCTATGTATTCTAATGCTAAAAATATAGCTTTTGCTTCTGCTGTGTAAATACTAGCCAAAGTTGAAATTTTATAACCGTGACCAAATCTATTTGACAAATCGTAAAAAGCCACTGAAGTGCTAAGTGCATTTTTGGAACCATCTGTATATATCTGCCTGTAGTCAATAAATTCTGATAAAGTCTCATACATATCGTGCTTTTCTTTTATGTCTTTACGTATAACAATTTTGATCTTACAGAACTTACTCTCATAAAGGCCATTATAACAAGGAAGTATCTTACTACTATAGATGTTATATTCATCTCGTAAATTCAAATCATTGACAATAGTTTTATTCAAAAACATAGAAATGGGGCAATTTAATAATTTGAGTATGAGTGGGTTATTGGAAACTGAAAAAACTTTGAAGAGAAATTTGAGTTTTAGGTATTCGAAACGAAGAAGGATAGGAGGCAAATTACATTCTACTTGCATTGAGATAATTGGAGAAGTATACATAGCACCTAAAATAAGTCTTAAATTCATATTTTGAATTTTTTTTCGAGTTTTTCTACTAATTTATGTTCTGAGGCATAACAAAAGAAAGCGTAATCAAAATTACTTCTAACAAGAGATTTGTAAAGTAAAAGGATAATTTTAGGATCAGCTCCCCAGTTACGACCAATTACAGATCTTATTATATTAGTGGCTCTTAAAGCACGATCTACTAAGCAATCAACGTATAGATCCCATTTTAAATTTTGATGAAAAATTACCCCCAGAAATTTAACGCTACAGTCTGTTGGAAGAGTTTGATTATTATATATAATATTCATTAATGGAACATATTTATGAACTTGATGAAAAACAACTACTTTACTTTTGGTTAAACTAATATCGAGGGAAAGAAGAGAAAAATATTTCTCAAGTCTTTTTAATGACTCATTTAACACTAATTGCATATCAATAATATTCTTTCCTTTTATATAAATTAATAAATCATCGGCAAATTGCAAGTTGTTCACACTGTTTCCTAAAATTGAATTAAGTTTATAGATATATAAAATATATAGTAGCGGGCTTAGAATACCACCTTGACATACTCCTTTAGAGCTTAACCTAGGTCCTATTAATTTACTATTTACTTTAACATACACTTCTCTATTACTAAGAAAATTATAAATCCATTCGATAAGTTTCATTGGAAGAAATGAGGATAAAATCGAAGATAGAACTGTTAAATTTACATTGTTAAAAGCTCCTACGACATCTAAAAAAACAGATAGAACATATTCATCGTTATTCAAAGCAGTACTAAGGTCGACATAGAAGTTCGCTAAACTTTCGCGCGCTGAATATCCACGGCGAAAACCAAATTGATTCGATGGTAATATACTATTACTTTCAATAAAGAACTCTAAACGCTGTTTAATTAATTGTTCGAATAATTTGCCTGCACAGGACGTCAATGTTATAGGTCTATAGGAGTCGAAATTTGTAGGATCTTTACCGGGTTTAATTACTGGAATCAAACAATCCATTTTCCATTCTGGTGGGATAATACAGTCCTTCCATAAATCGTTAAAAATTTGTAAGAGTTTAGTAAGGTTTATTTTATTCAGCAATCGAAACATATTGTATGTTAAGCGATCAAGGCCACTAGCTGTATCTTTTCTAGATTTTACTGCACTGGATATTTCATCAATTGAGAATGGGTCAGTGAGAAATTTTGGGCATGAATTAACAGAATTAAACTGTTTGTCATCAAAAGGTGAGTGTACAAAATCAGGAGTATATTTGCGTAAAAAATCATTGACCCATGATATATCTTTAAAATGATTTTGACGATGTTTTGAATTTAGTTTTCTCATATTTTGCCAAACAGTGGAAATTGGTGTTAATCTATTAAATTTGGAACAAAATTCCTGCCACCCCTGTTGTCTTACTTGCTTAATTACTAACTTTTTAACAGCTTGAACTCTTTTAAAATTTATGTAATTATCGAGAGTTGGATTTTGTTTAAACCTAAGGTAAGCCGCTTTACTATCATTGACAGCTGTCGCACACCTGTTATTCCACCAAGGTACTGCAATATGTTTGTGCCTCTTTGAAGTATTTGCACCGCTATTTGATAAGTTCCTACGTGGAACGGAACGTTCCACAGCTGTCAAAATATTTTTACAGAACCTATTGTAATTGTTTAAGGGTTCATTGACATCATACTCGAAATCCAAAAGTAATCGATTAACAGTTTCAGAATAAAGATCCCAATTAACGAGACGTAGGTTTATACGATTTAACAAAAGTTTATTAACTTCATCTATAGGAGCATGTTGTTCACCTGACGGAGTTGATGAAGAGTTCTTTGTGTTTATTTTAGTAAAAGTCGGCAGGTGATAACTTCCTAACGGATCATCATGAACCGACCACTCGCATTTTAATGATATGGATGGGGATACCATAGTTAAATCAAGGCCATTGGGTCTCCAAATATGAGAGCCAACAGTAGTAACTTGCTTATCATTTAATAGTACCAAATTACATTCATCTAAACAATCAAGAATGTCTTTACCTCTTGTATTAGTGGAGGTACAACCCCACATAGTATGATGTGCATTTAAATCTCCAGATATGATAGTGGGTTTAGGAAGAGACTCCAAAAAGAACTTAAATTTGGCTTTAGTAAAACTAGGTGTACTATTGGTAGGACAGTAAATACTGGCAACTGAATACCAAGAATTATTAACTTCAATACTAATAGCTATAGTTTGCAAAGAATTGTCGAAAAAAGAGTGAAGTTTTTTATATCTAATACTATTATGTATAATAATCGCTACTCCATTGTGGTTATTACCACAATCATTTCGTTCTATACAATAATCTTTAATTTTTAATTTGTAATGTGGTTTTAGCCAAGTTTCTGAGATGAGAGCAATGTGAATATGATGTTCATTTAAAAATTGTGTAAAAATATGTCGATTGCTCAGTAGGCTCTGAGCGTTCCACTGTATGATAGTTAATTGGTCTCGATTGAATTTTGTGAAATAGGTCTATTACCAAAAGTATCATATAACACATTCAAAACACTTTTAGTGTTAATAGATGTGTTCTTTGTGTTATGTAGTGAAATAAGTTTGATTATGCTTTCTATTAAAAGTGATAAACTCTTGTTATCAGAATTTAGAATTGAAATTAGGTCTACATTTTTTTTAGGTTTGTTACCCAGTTTAGGAAATATTTCAGTGCTAAGTATATCTCCAAAAGAAGCAGGTCTGAATTTAGATCTATTTTCAGCAATTTTCTTTTGTTTAACAGGGCATTGCGGTGATACACTTGTGTGATTTCCATTGCAGTGTACACAAATAGCGTTTTCCATTCCAGTTGTACAAGTTTTATAATTATGCTCACCTTTGCAGATGCTGCAACGCTCAGAATTCTTACAGAATTTAGCTAAATGTCCATACCTCAAGCACCGGTAGCATTGTTTAACTGGTGGTATATATGGAGTGACATTGTGGCGCCAACCTCCAATATCCAGATATTCAGGTAATACAGATGCAGCAAAAGTAATTGTCACGGTTAGAGTTGGCTGTAACACATATCCATGAGTCAAGGTATTTTTTCTTAAAATTCTTTTAATAGCAATAATTTTCTTAGAACTCGATATCATAGTATATATTTTTTTATTAGATATATTTGTAGGTACATTTCTAATAACGCCTGTAACTTCTGTTGAAGAAGCAGGAATACTGGCCTTAAAATGGTAGTCATTTAAAAAAGTTTTATTATTTAAAAAAGCATTGGCTAAGTCTGGCTTTTGAAAGTATACTCCGATTTTGAATTTATTTATAGATCTAAGATAAGTTACCCCTTTATTAAATCGTTTTAAACAGGAGGAGAGTGAGAGCAAGTCTCTGGATCCAATGGTTTTCTGACTATCTGAGGATTCTACAAAGACAACAAATTCTGTCCCAGGGGATTCCTCGGGATATCTTCTAATATAATCTGTGACGTAGTAAGGTTTATACTTATCGGCCTTATCAATTTCAGATTCTGAGTCAGTAGAAGTATCTTCCGAATATATATCCTTGTCATTACAAGGTTCATGGTCTACATCACCTGAATCGTCATCTTTTTTTTTCCTTTTTCTACAACTGCGCTTCCCCATGAATGCTAATTATATTACTGTCGCTGAATTTAGTGAAAATATAATATTTTATTCAATAATAAGAATTGATAGAGATAGTTTTAATAAATTAATAAAAAAAATTTAAAAAACCCGCTTGTTCTTATTCGAGTTTCCCGCCTTTTTTTTTCTCAATCCCTAATAATCAAACTGTCAAATCGTGACGTGCCGTGTAACGTCACGCAGAGATGACAGCCAATATTTTTAAACTTTATATTATACCATCAGACAAAAGGATATGCAGCTATGTCTGTGGTTAGTATGTATGTAATTCATTTTCAACTTATTTTAAAATGATAATATGTATCATTTCTTATTACAGTTAAATGTGTTTACTATTCTATAAATGGTGCAATAAAGTGTACATAAATAAATAAATAAATAAATAAATGATAATATGTAGTTTCTAATTTTAGGTATATCCGTTAATTATTTATTTTATTTATTCATTGAAACGACTTTAAAGATTAGGAAGTATTCAGTATGGTGGTATTTTTTATATATAATACTAACTTTTACCTCAGATTTTGTCTGCGTGATCTGCGTGATAAAAAGCCTATAACCTTCTCTATGCTATGTATACCAAATTTTATAGTGATTGGTTAAGCCGTTAAGGTGTTATAAGTTAGCATACAAACACACTTTTACGTTTATAATATTAGTAAAGATACATAATATATTTGCCAATTATTTATAAACTGATTTTGATAATTATTCCCGTGTTGGTTCCAAATAAGTTTATTTTTTTATTTTTAATAATCTCATAAAACCAGTAAGCAACAAGGAAACACATCGGTATTATTATTTTATAAGCGGTAAAGATTTTATTATTTATAACACTTTTATTACTTAAAATAAAAATAATAAAACAAAAAACATCTGTTAATTTCGCGCCATTTAAAAAATTTTTTATGTTCATTATCAAATTACGATATAGAACGGGGTATTAAAGAAAATAGGATTGTAGTGATCGCCTTGTACAAAGTGAATATGGAGCCGTCGGTTATATTTCAGACACTTCAAAACCATTGTATCAGCTGTATGTTTGTATATCGTACTATCAAAACATACAACAAAACTTCCTTTGTCGAAGATTAGAAAAGATCGGAGCGGCCGCGTGGTTTTAGAATTACAAAGGCTGTTATTACAGTTACAAGAAATTCCACTGTGCCGAAACTCCCTTAAAACAAACCAATAAGTATGTGATAAGTATTGTTTGTGGGTGACGCTTTTGCGATGTTTAGTGTTCATAATGCTTTAATAACTATTTTTCTCTTGGCGCTTTCACCACTTAGCGAATCATTAAGATTTTATACTAGTTTTTACCCACGACTTCTGTTTCGGACCACCGCTCCCATAGAATGTAAATAACTTCATAATTATTGTTATAATTTCGAATAGGAATAGTTTATAGTTTTACTTTTAACAGTTTCATAGTTCGATAATATTTGATGTGATTTAACACAATATTTCACATAGTATATAATCGCTGGCCAGTGCACCGCTGGTCCGCTGGCCAGCGGTCATAGTTGAATATAAATATAGGGCCATCATTGGCCAATAGGCATAGCGAAATTGACCTCCCTAGAGAGAGCAACACAGCAAGAGAAATCGCGAAAAAATAGTCTCTTCACGTCATCGTCATCATTTCAAGATCACCGCTTCGTTTTATTTCATCGTGCCCCATCATCATCTGTCCTTCACCACGTCAGTCATCCATCTTTCGTCCGTCATCGCTTCGTCGTCAGTCATCGCGGCGGAGTCTTTAAAGCTACGTCATTGTCGTGTCTACGTGTTCGTCAACGTCGTTCTTCTGAGGGCGACGTATAGTGGTACAGCCGTACCTGGTCCTTCACCTGCAACGCGCCTGCGGCGAAGACTGAGGCCCTTTGGGGAGAGAGTGCTTTGTGCGTCCACTGTGCAAGGTACTCTCTTTTCTCGAGTAGGATAGGTCGACGTCCGGGCGTACTAGCGCCCCGGTGCTTGCCGACGCGCCTACCGACCCATCGGGGGCAGCGGCTCGCACAACTTCTTTCACGCAACCGGAATACTTTTACTGATCGTGTAAATAATAGCGGAGGTCTCTTTACATTCTAAATATTATCTGTACATGAAATTTCATAATGATTTGATGGCCTTTAAGGCGTTAAGATAATGAACAAATAAACTCACATCTGTATACTATGGATTATATTCCACAAAAAACAGTTTTTTTAGTACTGACAGATTATGTGATGTTTAATATAAAGTGATCAAAGTCACCTGGGAGCATAAAGAAAAAGGTGCATCTAACAAAAATGTGCTGGGGGAAGGGATTGTTGGTAATAGGGAGTAATCGCTCAATTGCTAGTTAATATATCCTATCAGGTCGACCTCCACGCGGCACCCTCTGGAAACTATTATGTCTATTTCCTGGTCACGATGAGTCAGCTGACCTTTTTTATCTTCCCATATTATTTCACACTGGTATCCAGCCGGCGCATATCGATAGCGCAGGTAGGGCTACTGAAATAGTATTTTTATCCATCGAACAAAAAAATAACAAAAAGTGTTGTGTGACACCCCTGCTGTTGCTTACAATATATTTAAGTTTTTAATATCTGATTAGAAGTAACTGCAATATTAGTCGGTATTTTCGCAGAAAAGGCGATTGTTGCCGCACTCTGCCGCTATGTACTCGTATTGTTAAGGCGCCCGTTGCCACAGCAACGTTCGAACAACATCAATACAACTTATATTCAACATCACTGTTATTACGTTTTAGTAACTCTTATTTACAAGTTTTATTAATTCTTATTAGCTGCAAGTTAATATTTTTTGGACTTTTACAAATTGAATGCGTTTATGTTCCTCACGCGGGGCTGTACACGAAGCTGTCACTCATGGTATCCAGTCAATCGTCCAGTAAAAGGTTAGTTTAATGAAACTAAGTCAATTGTCAACAATTAATCATTTAATATTGTTAAATGCGACTATTTGTGTTCATTTATTTTGAATTTGGAATACTTAGACACTTTTTAAATGTCAACCTACGATATTGAGTTTTTTAAGTTGCCGCTATCCAAAGCGTATGCATGTGACAAGTTAAGAAATTGCATGCAATAAGAGACGTACGTTAAGATAATGTCTGTGACTATGACACTCGATTGTATTACTCCGTAGAGAATTTGAATGTAAATAAGATTACTTTTAATATACTTCGATAGATGAGGTTGATCATGGAGGATTTATCTTGTTTTACAATCCATTGTTATGTACTGTTACCTATGTATCATAAAATAAATAAATGAAATTTAATTACTTTTAATGCATTTTATTTACTTGATTTTTTATCGATTTGATGTGGCAAAAATGCCCCACTGCATGGAAAAAGATAAGTGCGGCCTATAGACGTAAACACTGCCATATATACCATGGGCATCACGGAGTACAGTGCGATGCCCATGCATTGCTATTCCTGTAGAATTAACGTGTTATCTAAGTATCTTTACTCTGTAATTTCACTGTCATATTCCATCTTTCAAACTAAAATATCCATGGCTAACAAATATGGCTGTTTCAAGTCAGAAACTGCAGAGGTGAATAGAAGTACCCATGCAGGTGACTGTTATGCTGCCTGCCTGTGGTGATTGGTTTGTAATGTCATTGTAGATTCGTAAAGTAACATGGGCTTGCTGGACAAGCTGTCGGTGTGGCTGGGCCGCGGTAAGACAGAGGTGACGGTGCTAGTGCTGGGGCTGGACAACAGCGGCAAGAGCACGCTGCTGAACACGCTGCGGCCGCCCGAACAGCGGCTGCCGCACGTCACGCCCACCGTCGCGCACCAACAGGACCACTTTCAAAGTAACTTATTATTTATTACATAGTTATATATACATATTCTATGGAAATTATACCTAAAAAGAGTCATTAATATACGTTTTTTTTTCTACGACTTTATGATATATTAACTCTACGGCCGTCTAGTGGTAAATGGCTAAGAGTACTCCTACGTAGTTTAAAAGTTAGAGGTATGTTGGGTTATATTCATAAGATTTTTTACCTCTACTTTGAACGTTGCATTCAAAAAGGAGAATATCCTTAAAAGCGTTAAAAATGACCGATAAAGTCTGAAGAACAGATAACTAATGGTGATGTAAGACTCCACAGTGGTCACTCTGCGGTAGGTGCAGACAATCGATGGATGCAGATGATTCTGCATCCATCATGCATGTTTGATGCTTCAATGCAATATATGAGTACCACAAACATTATAACTCTTATGGTTTATTCTTTACAGAGACTTAAACTCCTAATTGATTATTGTCCACTAGTTGCTGGTAATATTTTCTGACAATTTTCCAGGTAACTGGAAACAATCCAGATAATGGTTTTCAGTTAATTGGAAGTAAAGAATTTTGGCCAATGCAATTGAAATGAATTAAACTGAGTCGTGGCCGATTGAACTGGTTGCAAGTTATCCTAATTATCCTCGACGGGTGTCCCGCTATTAGCGTATGGAGACGCGCCATTTCATGTTCATATATTAAATGATACGTGACAGTACGGTTTTTTTTAATGGATGATAATGGAATGGTAACCCCGCCCGCGCTAACGGTATACACTAGCGGGGCCTCAATGAGTGATGATAGGTGAGAATGAAAAAGCTGGTCAGTTAGCCCATTGTGATGAATTCACTTGGAATTGGCATGATGGCAGCGGGGACCACGTGGAGGTTGATCTTTTTGGGCATATTGCTAACAATGAGACTGGTAGTCCGCATTACTAACACTCCCCTCCACCCTGGCGGTACGGCAGGTGGCGGCGTGTCGTTCAGCGCGTGGGACGTGTCCGGGGCGCCGCGGCACCGCGCCCTCTGGGAGCGCCACTACCGCCGCGCGCACGCCCTCATATTCGTCGTCGACTCCGCCGACCATCTCAGGCTAGGTTAGCATTCACCTATTTCATTTGTTCAGTACTCACTTACGGTTTTATAAAATGTATGTTTTGTTGTTTTGGATTGAAGAATAATGGGATACTGCAGTGAAATAACAGCGCACGGAGGCATTAACTCTCAGAAGTCAAATCCTGAGCAGTAAGAGACATCATGGTCATAGATCACAAGACTAGTCTTGTGATGCTTATGATACTGTTCATGTTCTATAAGCGACGATTACCACTTTTCATCAAGCGCCGTTAGAACTGAGTGAATCACTTAAAAGATATGTGCTATTTAATTAAATGAGTTCCCATCGTCAAGTAACTGTGCTCGCATAGCTACTTCAGTTTAAAGAGTGACATTTAGCATTTCAATTTACTACATATACCGTAGAGTCGGGTTAAATACTTTTATTTTAATTTTGTATGTTAGCACACCAGGTTTATAATATTGATTTTTTGTTGGCTGAAAATGGTATGGTAACCCCGCCCGCGCTAACGGGATACGCTGGCGGAGCACTAGTGAAGGGTGATCGATGAGAATGAAAACAGGCCAGTTAGCCCATCATGATGAATTCATCAGGAATTAGTCATGATAGTTTCCAGGGGGAACTGCGTGGAGGTCGACCTGGTTAGGTATATTGCTAGCAATGGGATTTTTGGTATCTGTTACTAACAAATACTTTCCCCCCTATAACATTGATTTGGGTTTTGCTGTCATAATGTTGTAATTATTTTTAATGAATAAATAAATAAATAACACGTTAAGCATGAGTAGTAGTCGCAGCGCAAGAGATACTTTTTGATGCAACTTAGAATGGCAAACAAGCCGATGGTGGACCGTGGGTAGTGCGGCGCGGTCGCGTAGTAGAGTGTAGTGGTGGTCGGCAGTGGTGGCGCGCGAGGAGCTGGCGCTGGTGCTGGCGCACCCGGACGTGTGCGCGCGGCGCGTGCCGCTGCTCGTGTTCGCCAACAAGTGCGACGCGCCGCACGCGCTCGCGCCCACGCAGATCGCCTCCGGTGAGATACGCTCTTCTAATAACCACTGTTGAACCATGAATGGGTCGTGAGTACACTTTATTTGCATTATACAATACTAGCGACCCGGCCAGGCTTCGCACGGGTGCAATGCTGATACAAAATATACCTACCTACTACAGAATGTTCTTATAAACAACGTTTACAGCTTTTTTGTTATTAGACAATACAAATATGATAAAGTGCTATAGGGAGAAGCGCGGCCTTCGACGCGTTATTTATAGGCACGCGCCGCCGGCCGGGCTGGTACTGGCGCACTACTATGTCCCTGCTTTTTAAATCTGTTATATCTTCGAAAATATTCATTTAAATTACATGCTGTAAAGGACCATATTGATCTCTATCTATTAAAAAAAACCGCTTCAAAATCCGTTGCGTAATTTTAAACATTTAAGCATATATAGGGACGGACAGACAGCGACAGCGACTTTGTTTTATACTATGTAGTGATGATGATGATAGGAAATAAGCAAAACAATTAACAAACACAACGATACAGTTGTATAAGTACAGTGAGGCGGTTTTATTGCTGAGAGCGATCTTTTCAAGACAACCTTAGGGTAATGGGCTAATGATTGTACAAGTAGGTATGATAGTACTGTATAATTAATAAATTATCTTTATCGACTATTACGACACAGCGGTACATAGTTGGCAGAAACGAGGAGCTAGGTTTGATTCTTAAATGTTGACACTAACTAAATGTACCTAATAATTATTATAACTTATGTAATTAATGAATTTATACTTTAAATATGTAAGCCACTAAAAACTACAAACATGTACTTAGACAAAATTTGCATGCCTTTAGATAAGGCAAAATGTGTAGCTTTGTTATTACTTAAGACCGTTTGTACAAACCACATTTCCAGCAAATAAATTATTATTATTCTTGGTGAGGCTAATTACGCGGTGGAAATACAAAATTTCCTAACTTACATTGGGTTTCGGTATTCTAAGTTGCGTTTGCAGACCCGTTTCCTTTAACTTCGTTAAGTATTTGTAAGCAAGGGAATTATTGCAATCAGGAGTTTCTAACCTTTTTTTCCAATACCTGCTGACGAACTTCCAAAACAATAATTTAAATTGTGTCCCATAAAAAAAAATCAACTCCAATTGTGGTAAACCAAACTTTTGATTTCAAAACTAAACTAGTGAACCGTTTTCGGTAACATTTTTACGGGATTTATCAGTTAGAAGTTACGAGGTAACAAAAAATACAACCGAATTGAGAATCTCTTTCTTTTTGAAGTCGGTTGAGAAGTTGTTAATGAGAGGTTGTTCAAGTGGCTAAGGGACGAAGGGATGAATTCACAATGGAATATTCATTACCATTTGTTAGTAAGAAATATAAAATTATTTTAAAAATAGTCGCCAATATTTAGTCAATTAACATAAGAGCACAATAGCAGTTTCCATTTTATATCAACACAAGAAACAAGAAATAACTTCGTTACTCTAGTCTCAGTGGCAGTAAGTTTGCAGCACTCGCTGTAAACTAAGTTCACCTGAGTTTATACGAGTAGGTTACAGTTTGAATTGATACAGTTTGGTTTGATGGTCTCTCTGAGAAGCGACACAGTAATTATTCGATATATTCGTAATACATATTAACGTTGGTCATTTGATTAGAATTATTTTGTTTAATTCCACTACCATTACTATGTGTGTGACTGCCAGCATTTGAAGATTACCACCATTCTTACTATCAGAAGTTCTACAACCTTCTATATCAGCCATTAGTTTCCGATTGCCATTTTGTTCACGCACGTTTTGTGACACGTGTTTTAATCTCTAAACGATCTATTTGTCTGATGATGCCTAGTTTAGAGGGGAAATAAGCGTCACTAAACGTGCGTGGATGAAATGGCAGCCAGAGATTGATGGAAGGTTATAGGACTTCTAGTGTTAATGATGGTATGATGGTGGTCCATTTTCGAGTGTAGCCAGTCACAAACAAACTGATGTTGTTAAGAGAGGGGCTGGCTGTAAACTAGCGCTGTGCAGCTGTACACATTGCACTGGGACGCTCGCAGCATCAGCTGAGCCAGTTGCTTTTGCCTGTAATGAGACACTACTTATATATGTAATATTTTTGTATTTTTTTTTTTTGTAATTGTGTTTTTCTTTTCTATTCTGTTCTAATGGCAGTGGATTAAATAAAATCATTCTATTCAATTAACTAGTGATATGTACATAGACAATATAACACCTATTTCAGCAAAATATTTAAATATTAAGGTACTGTTTTATGCAACTTAGAATGACAAACAAACTGACGGCCCACCTGATGGAAAGTGGTAACCGTCGCCTATAGACATGAGACATGTTATATCCATGGTACTGGATATAACAAATTGTACTGATAGCCCCCATGCGTAGCCATTCCTGAGGAGTCAGGTGTTATTTCTCTGTATCCTGTTAATTTACTGCCACATGCCCTTCAAACCGAAACACAGCCATGCAAACATAACTGCTTCACGGTTGAAACACGAATGAGGTGGAGGTGCCCAAGCAAACGACTTTTGTACAAAGTTTCCCTCTGGTTGATATGAATTTGCTGCATAATTGAATTCATATATCTGTGGGTAGTACTTTAGAGGCTACAACATGACTCGTAACGGATCTGACGACGTCGCGACTTATTACAAATACGAATGACCTTACGATTTGTGTAAAATTACTACAGTGAACGCTCTATATAAGCAACCTCTCTATAAGCAACATTCTTTATATTTTATTTATTCTACTCAGTTTAACAACTTTTCCCAATAAAAAACTTTTTTTTATTGAAATTGGTTCAAATGTATTTATATAGAGTGTAAACAACAAAATTAATTCACCATTGAACACATAGATGGCGTTATGTAAACATTGTATTGCGATAAATATTCTAACGTTTTATTACAATACAGGGATTTGTTTTTTTTTATTTTTAAATAATAATAATAAAGTTCACAATACACGGTGCAGTGTTTTTATTTTAATAGTGTAGTGAACATAGAGCTTTCACTGTATTTTATTCCAACTCATAACTAGTTCTGATGGTCTGCTGCTACTCGTACATATCGTCTGATGTATCTGAATGTCCGACCGTGGCACTAGCTTTACAATATCTAGTTTACAAATGGTCTGAGTAATTTCAAACTACCGTGTTATTCGAGATACCATACATACGAGTTTAATTCGTTCCGTAACCTTGCTCGTTATCAAATTGTTCGTATATCGAAGAAATTTTCCCCATTGAAATTAATTGAAATGCCATTAATATGTACTCCCAAAAAAAAAAAGACTTGTTTTTGCGAAGTGTTAGTCTGAGGTGAGAGGAACTGTTAGACACCAACATCCACCCCTCATGTTGGGGTCGTATGCAGCGGTGTAGTGTGCGATTTCTCATATCTCAAGTCTTGTTCTCATCTCAAAGTATATTAGGGCACTCGTATATCGAGGTACCACTGTACGTATATTCAATGGATGACAATGATATAGTAACCCTGCTTGCACTGTTAGTAAACGCTGGCGGGACACCAGTGAGGGATGATAGGTGAGGATGAAAGGACAGGTCAGTTAGTCCACCGTGATGCATACATCTGGAATTCAACACGATGATTTCCAGGGGAACCACTTGGAGGTCGACCTGATGGGGTATATTGCTAACAACGGGGGCTGACAATCCGCATTAGTAACAATCCCCTCCGCCCAGTGTACGAGTGTATCGGTTTGTAGCGTTGGGCTTGGAGCGCGTATCGGACAAGCCGTGGCACATCTGCGCGTCGAGTGCGCTGTCGGGCGCCGGGCTGCCGGACGGCGTCGCCTGGCTCGCGCGCCAGCTGCGGGACGCGCACCAGCGGCACTGACCGCCGCCGCCGCCGTCACCGTCACCACCGCCACCACCGCCACCACCACCGACATACTGAGCCACGGACCTCACACGCACTCCCTGAGACACGTTGCATTCTTTTACTTTACTAATGACACCCCGATTTATAATTAACTCTGTAAAAACTAAACCAAACTAATAGATGTTATGGAAGCACTACCAGTACCAGTATATGGCACGTCTAGTCATCTTAAATCAGTGTAGTTTTATATCTGTGTGTTTAGGTCTTTTTTTTTTACAACACAGGGGGCAAACGAGCTTGCGGCTCACCTGATGGTAAGTGACTACCGCCGCCTATGATCACCCACAATACCAGTGGCCTTGCAGGTGTGCTGCCGGCCTTTTAAAAGGGAATATGCTCTTTTCTTGAAGGTCGCTATAGTAAATAGATGTTTATATATAGTTGTTGATTGTTACATAAAATATATTATTTTTCTTTGCTGATTCTCTTTATCCTTTTTATTAATAGACATAGCCGTACGATGATGGCGTAACAATATAACATGCCATTTTTATTTATTTATTTAAGGAAAAATGTTAGGTGAATGTTGATACGACACGACGAATTTATGAATGTTATAATAGAAGGTAAGATAGAAGGAAGGAGGGGGAGAGGGAGACTGAGACATAGTTACATCAGGCAGATCAAGGAAGGAGTTGGTGTAGTGTCGTATCAAGAGGTGGAGAGACTCGCTGGAAATCGTAGTGAGTGGTGAGAGCTCCACCGACAAGAGCGCTGCTCTTACATAATATAGATAGCAAAATGTGTTTGTCCTTAGGAAATTTTCAGTTTTATTAATATTACTATTTTTAAATTGTTTTTTCTATCAGTTACATCTTACGGGGTTAGTTTTTTTTAGTAGATGATAATGGAATGGTAATTCCGCTTGTATTAACGGTATACGCTGGCGGAGCACCATGAGGATAAAGCAGGTCAGTTAGCCCATCGTGACGAATTCAACAAGAATTGTTCACGATCGTTTCCAGGGGGAACCACGTGGAGGTCGCGATAATATAATATATACTAATAGGGTATATTGCTAGCAATGGGGCTGTCAAACTCCATTGCTAACAATCCCTTTCCCCCCGTACTAGGTTAGTTATCATAATATACGACGTAGGAGGATGTATAGATAGAAATCAGCAGCGTATCCTTTTAAGGCAGTGTTCTACTATGTCGGGAGGTATACTATGTCGGGAGGTATATACTATGTATTAATTTTTGACATGTTTTTGCACATTTTTCTTTTGGAAAAATGTTCAGTTTCTCACGAGCACTCTCCTAAAAAGACGTTAAAATTTTTCTATATAAGTGAATATGTTTTTAAAAACAATAATACTCGTACTGGTATACGTAATTATAGAGATAGAATTATTAAAAGAATGATATGAAATAACAATGATATTATATTATTATTATAAAATAGATGTGTAGCGAGGTTCGCACTGTAAATAGAATATCATCACTAATATTTATGATGACGAACAGAGACGATAGTATTTAATGTTTTTTTTTTTTTTATAGCTGACCCTGTATTTGGAAATTGGAAATTATACAAGGTTGAAAAATTACCATCCGCTGGAGCGATCCGATGGGAATCGAATTGACAAATTAAACTTGGCTTAATTTTTCCACCTAGTATATTATTTTACAGATAATAATGGTTGATATTAAAGTTATTTATTACAAAGAACATTGTTGCATTTTATTTCAATATTCCCTATTATACTGTGTACATTCTGTCGCCGTAGCGTTAGTCGCACAGGGCTTCTAGGCAAGTGGCAAGCGAATTCGTCGATGGCTTCGACATCGCTAGCGAGCCCGTGAGATAGAATGAGATTGCGACGCCGGATGACTCATTCCAACTTACGGACTCGCTAGCTATGTCGATTCCATCGACGAATTCGCTTGTCACTTGTCTAGAAGACAGCTGAAGCTTTCGTGTCGATTTGAATTCACTACTCGTGCTCTGTATGAATCATTAAGCAGCGACGCTTTCCTTTAATTTAAAGTTGATAACTTGTAGATGGAAGCATAGAGACTTTCCCACTCAGTTTCCTGTGGCTGCCTGGTAACTCAAAGGAAAACTTGTTGGCCTTTGTTACGATTTAATTAGATTTACGCAAACAGTAAGAAAAAAGAAACTGGTTTATTTTTAAGCGACTTCTAAAATCTGTACTGTCCTTATTAATATTAGAAATGTGAATGTGAGTTTGTTTGTTACCTCTTAGCGTCCTAATGGCTGAACCAATAACTGAGAAATCTAGTATACACGTACTATATTAAATGGAGAAGAGTCTAAGCTACTTTTTAACCAAATTAGTAATCGTAGTTTATTTTGGTTACGCGGACGAGGTCGCGTGTAAAAGCTAGTAAGGAATAATTCCCAATTCGCCTGAATATTTCTAGTGATTGTGTTATGTGATTACGTCACCAATTCTATACCGATTATTATAATTCTTTTTGTAATAGCCAAGCTCTACATTTGTGTCGGGTCTACGCAATTTCGAAACTTGATCCTATTTCCCGCCAACACAACTCAGCAGTCAAATTAGCTATCAAAGCAGGAAATGAATAAAGTTTCACCTTTATTTCACGCGGGGTAACGATAAAAGAGATAAAAAACAATGAAGTAGAAAGAGGGTCTCACGGGGGACCACGGGGCCGCGTGCGTACCCCATATCAACTCTATTGACGATCATATTGTTTTTAGGGATATCGTACCACCATACATGTTTCATTCCCATTCGTGTTACTACCGTGAAGCAGTTGTGTTTGCATGGCTGTGTTTCGGTTTGAAGGGTGGGATATGGTGTGAATTTACTGGGTACAGAGGAATAACACCTGAGTCCTCAGGAATGGCAACGCATGGGGGGTATCATGGGCGAAACAGTACACTCTGTTATGTCCATGGTACTGCTCATGTCTATAGGCGACGGTTACCACTAACCATCAGGTGGGCCGTCAGCTTCTTTGCCATTCTAAGTTGCATAAAAAAATGCATTTCAATAAAGACAGTAGACTCATTCTATGCCTTTAAATGGTCTGTAAAATGTAGATAGCAATGTCACAACGGCAATGGGCAACAAATACTTCTGACGGACATTAGGGATTTTAGTCGAGAGTATATTTTCTATTTTTTTTTTAAGAATTTGATATGATTTAATATTTTATTATTACTTACGCACGTCAATTTGTATTATACCTAGCATCTAATGTTGTTAACGGATTTAGTTGAGAACAAGTGACAAGAAATTTGTTGCTTCTGTTTGTTTGTTTTGGAATAAACCTGTTAACAGAATATGGACAAATTTGTTTAGAATTTGTATTGAACTTTAACTTATTGAGAAAGAACAAGAATCATCAAAATCGTACCACAATTGGTGAAAATATTAGGTAAGTACATAAAATATCACGTAGGCATTCTTAGGTTGACTGAAAAGATTTTTATGTTCACCATTGCGTCTGCTAACTGGTTTCTTAAGATCCAAGTATCCTATATTTGAACGTTATTCTAATAATAATAATAAATAATTTTTATTCAAGTGATTTTAATAAGAGCATTTTTGAATAGTATTTTTTTTATAAATGTACCATCCAGTTTGGCATGCAATTTCAATTAAGAAGAACTGGCAAGAAACACAGCTGTTGCTTTTTTTAAATAAAAGTTTACAACAAAAACTACGAATGGATAAAATTACTTCTCTCTGCAATAAAGAAACTCAGTATCGATAAAAGGGAGAAAATAAAAAGCTACAAAAGATATAATCAATCACAATTAGAACAGACCAGTTTATACTAGAAGCACCCGTTCACGAGCATGACGGTACAATAAACGTTACAAATAAATAAACGTTTATACAGTTGAATTGAGAACCTCGTTTGTGAAGTTCGCTGAACAATACTGCTCGTGTGCAACATATTTTGTATTATTACATTGTTGTTTTTTAAATAAACGTAGAAATCGGTTAATTTTAAAGTTTATTTCGGAAAATACTTATATTCCTAGAAATTCCAAGAACTAGAATAGAGTTTTCATATTTCATCCACACCGTAGTTTGGGTTTGTGTCAACGCCAGTCTGTTGTCAGCCGTGGACGCGTGAAGCGGTCGTGTTGCGTTCCGCGTCGTCTCGCGAAGTTACGTGCGTAGCGCGCAATCCGCGACACTTCGGAACATGCATGTGCGTTACACTTTTACGTGTTTCTGTGGAAATAACTAATTTATTTCATTTATTTATTAAGTGCTATTTGTGTCGATAATTAGTGTTGTTATTAGTTTGTTATATTTCTAGGATCGGGCGAGTGCATCATCTTACTCAGGTTTGTAATGTTTTTACGCTTTGTATGGATTTGCAGTACATTAATATAAAAGTTATATTTATTACTATTTTCATTTATTAAAAAATGATAGCATAATAAAAAATAATTAGTTACTAAACATGATTAATTAATAAACTATGTTAAAGTAAATGCTGTGAATATCTATAACAGGCGTGTGCATTAATATTGTATTGTATTTAATGTTTGTTATATGTGTTATAATGCAATATGCTGTTGATGTTCCTTTAAATAAATAAACTTAAAAAATAGCTTAAATTAAAAAACTTTTAATAGTATCTTTTTACAAGCTTTTTAATAAAAGCAGCCCAACTTTTTTATGCATGTGTAACTAAATATGTGTCATAGACTTCATGTAAAAGTACGTGATAGGTCAGTGTATGCGTGAAAAGTGATACAAAAATATTATATTGCAACGTACGTGCAATACCGAATAAAGGCGTGTTATGTATCTTAAAAAAAATCGCGTCATCTCGTTTTTCAGCTGACTGTTTCTGGGATATATTTTAATACTCGATGTTTTATTTAGAAATTTTAGGCATTTAAAAATTAAAGATATTAAATGAAACTGGCAGAGAGCACAAATCACAAGTTTTTGCTGATTTCCCTTGAAGTCGACGCTGATTTTAAATTATATATGTTGTATTTATTTTAAATTTAACTGACAAAAAACTTGATCTAAATTATAATTTATATTAATAGTAAACTAACATTAGTGGGTTCAATAGTCAATATCCTAGATGCCCGTATATTCATAATATAAGACGAAAATTGAACTTTGTATTATTCCGATACCTGGTAACACTGTATGTAATAAAATATTTAATACGTATTTCATTTAAATAATCAATGTTAGTTTTAGTACACTAAAAATCAACTTAACCATGTTTCCGTGTTTGTAAGTCCAAGGACAGATTTACTTAGAGACGATATATTGTTAAGAATTTATACATTATAAGTTTTACTTTATTAAAGAGAATACTATTTTACATTTATATAAGTGTATAAAGGCCGTGTGGTCCTGACCAGCCCTTCCTCTCCCGTGGGTGTCGTAAGAGGCGTCTAAGGGAGGACGAGGGATGGGCAGCAGTGGCCCTCTTAAAACATCACCAAAAGCTAAACTGCGGTTGGCAACTCACCTGCCAAGCGTGGCAATTACTAGCAAAACTCCTCAAGCCTTCTCGGCTTATGTTAAGCAATGGTTAGTTAAAGGCTGGTATATTGATGATTTAGTCACTTGTATTTATTTGGCGAAGCAGCGGAGCATAGAGGTATCTGTACTAGTACAGGGAACTTAAGGTATAAATTTATAAATGTATTTAAAACTACATCGGCAAAACTATTTGTTTCTAGGAAACAAATAAATACAATCACAGGGTATGGAGGCACAACACAAACATTAGTCCTCAGGAACGGTAATGGATGAGGGTACCTATGACATCATTCTGTATTCTGAGTTGTCCATGCTACTGATTAAGTCTATAGGCGACGGTTACCACTTTTTAATAGAAGGGCTACAGAAGCTCGATTACTTTATATAAGATCCCGGCTTACCCTACCTTAGTAGCACGAAGATACCAAAATCTAGTAAAACGTAGCCTTGTACGTAACGTAGGAGTAGGAAAAATACACAGTTCAGTGATCTCGAGATGTATATTCAGTGATGAGCAGTATTCTCCGCCGCTGTATACATAAGGGGACGTCCGATGTCCGTCAGGCGGCGCCACACTGCCGGCGCGGCTAAAAGCATCGCCCACTTGCGATGAGGCGGCGAAGGCTGCAGCCCAGCGCCTTACATGTTGGACGTCAATCTTTGTTTTTTTTCTGAAACAACATGTTTCACTTATATTAATAAGTTGGATGTATTAGTATTGTATTTATTAGTTTCCAATAAACAAAATGCTCATAGTAATAATAATAATTTTTAGGTGACTTCTAAAAGAAGAAAGTTCATAATTTGTGTTAGTGTAGCAAAATCATGTATCATATTATTTATCGATGTGTGCATGCATGCGGACGTGTGTGTGTGTGTGTGTGTGTGTGTGTGTGTGTGTGTGTGTGTGTGTGTGTGTGTGTGTGTGTGTGTGTGTGTGTGTGTGTGTGTGTGTGTGTGTGTGTGTGTGTGTGTGTGTGTGTGTGTGTGTGTGTGTGTGTGTGTGTGTGTGTGTGTGTGTGTGTGTGTGTGTGTGTGTGTGTGTGTGTGTGTGTGTGTGTGTGTGTGTGTGTGTGTGTGTGTGTGTGTGTGTGTGTGTGTGTGTGTGTGTGTGTGTGTGTGTGTGTGTGTGTGTGTGTGTGTGTGTGTGTGTGTGTGTGTGTGTGTGTGTGTGTGTGTGTGTGTGTGTGTGTGTGTGTGTGTGTGTGTGTGTGTGTGTGTGTGTGTGTGTGTGTGTGTGTGTGTGTGTGTGTGTGTGTGTGTGTGTGTGTGTGTGTGTGTGTGTGTGTGTGTGTGTGTGTGTGTGTGT